CTTCTGTGACCCAGTGGGTGACGAAGTCTAGGGCTTGGGATCTGAGGTCGTCGGAGATGGCGAAGGGTGGGAGATTTTTGATGAAGGAGGTGCTGAAGTTGTGGAAGAAGCCAACGGGGGCGATGTCGAGGTGTTCGGTCACGCTGTAGCATCATTAGTTGGATGCTTTCAGTGATGTGTATACATTAAGACTCACGTATTCAACAAGACAACGCCGACATGGATCGGGCGTCCGGGGTTCCGAAGATCGAAGGGGGTAGACATGTTGGTTTGATTGTCGCTTTGAGAGTTGGTCGGTAGGAGCTGTTAGGGTGAACTTGTTGCTCTGGAATTATCACACCATCAGAGGCCCTACACGAGCTTTATAGAAACGCTGGTGCTTTCTGTATACTTAGTTTCTGAGCATATGATTTGTCGGATGAACTTGGCATGCGGGACGGCTCGAACTGCCATCCACCGTTCCGTCCTCGGTTCGCCATGCCCTCCGGAGAGTGGTAATCCTTAACCTGACATTCTGACTATGACAACTGCATAAATTATGAAATTTTCTTTAAGGTTTTATCATGGAAAGTATGCTCACGCCAAGTGTCTTCTCTCTATTAATTAATTGGTATGTCAGTATAATAAAGTACAAATGAAAGTAGATACAAGAGTTTGGGAACACAATTATATTGCTTCATCCACTCCCTCCGATATCTTGATTGTTGTCTGAATATTGACCTGATAGAGTGCTTGCCATGACCCTGCCCCAAGGGTCATAGCATCTTGATTCCTATCCGACTGGCTCAGACGCGATGTGACGGTGGTTACTAGACGACTGTTCGACTTTCCTGGAGCAAATTCCCCACCCCAATTGCTTGGGTTATGTAACCTTTCAGCATCCGTGGAGAGGTTCGACAGAGGATGCTCCTCTTCGGCTTGCTTTTTGCCACGCGAGTTACCACCATAGTATGATCGAGTTTCGAAGACCCAAAGAAATAACGGGCGAAGGGTGGCGAGGCTTCCTGCGGTAATTCCGATTCCGATCTCGATGATGGACCAAAAGTCGATTTGGTAGGTTGCGTCTGCAGGGGTTAGAAAATGTGATGATGGGATAGGAGGTCTGGGTATACTCACATAGAAGGTTGGTGTCATGGTAAGTGTGCAGGTATGGGATTCGGATGATCACGGCGACACTCTCTCTAGAACAGGTTCAGCATCTCTCCTTTTGTCAACCCCTAAATAATCGTGCACGTACAGGGCTCCTAGGCTGAGGACTCCGGCTAATGCAATCTTTGTCCGGCGGTCCATTTGCAGGTGCCAGATCAGAACGGCAGGCATGATCCCGAGAGTCACGTCGGACAGCACAATCAGGAAACTATAGAGATAGCCAACATCCAACAGTATCTGCCGACGTATGCATGTTCCTTCATGATTTCCATTGACATGCGACCAGAAATAAGAGACTGGTTGGCAGCCGGCGAGAAACACAAGCCAGATCATTATCCCAGCGACTATTACAACGCCAGTCACCGCCCACAAAACAATGCGGTGAGCTTTGTGCACAGCTAGTCTGAGTAGGGCAATAGCGATTGATATTTTAGTGATAGCGGCAGACCAACTATAGAGCATTTGACATAACCACCACCACTAATAATGGTGAGTTATATCGGAATGGTTATGGGTTCACTCGCGTGTTGGTAGAAAAGTAAATAGACCTACCAGAAGTGCCTGCTCCATTGTGTTATAATCAGTAAAGTCCTCGTTCTTATGACCAACCCCTCGCTTCGATGCAACCATCCAACATGCATCCAGGGCTATGAACAAAGCCTAATTGAATATCAGCCGCTGTCGTGTTAGTGAGAAGATCAGGAATCCCACCAGTGCGATAACCATCAGAGCGTCATCCCACCCAAAAGCTCGAACCGTATAAATACGAACAAAAGTGCGCAACGCGACCGCCATAATACTAACGCTCATCATTACCGCCGCACAGATAAAGATGGCCAGACTATGGCCGACAAGAGGCATCGAGGAGCCCATGTTGCTAGGGAGTGACTTGGTGATTGACACCCATTGATCGCATGCCGGCTGCTGTGCGAAAATCTGGCAGGTGAGCTCCAGCGCGCTTTTATTTACATCGTCATCCGTGCGGCCCCTCAACTAGACCAATTAATGTGAAGTCTCCTAAGTGGGCAGGCTAGTAGTGCTTGCGCAAACAAAAAGTCGAACATGATCGTCAACGGAAAAAAAGTTGATCTACCTGCGAGGAGCAGACAGACCCATATTTTTTGGAAGAATGACAGGGGGTGAGCCAAGCGGAGCAGATCCCAGAGGGACCCATCCATGTTGCGGATCGATCTGACTCTGACAGGCTCATGCATCTATCCAACTGCAGTCGAATAGCTATGCCCTTGTACTTTGAAGTTGATTCATGAGTCGCCTATAATACCTGTCCCACAGCCTCGGGATTTTTCATTCATCCCCCAATTACTGTGGATAAATAGGAAACAAGGATGAAGCTTTAATTGTCAAAGCTATCCGCGCCTCTTTGAAACGCCCGGCTGAAGTAACGTGTGAGACACGAATCCTTCAGTGGGTGTTTACCGGCCGCCAGCTGAAGCGATCAACGGAAGCTAAGCTACACCGCTCAGGGGTTAAGCATCTAGAGCTTCGACCTATCCACTGAACACTGAATCATGGTCAGGTTTGGCTTGCAAAGAAAGAATCCAATTGGTGAACCTGTCCAGCTCATGATCGTGGCACAATTTGGCTCCCGGGAGTGAAACCTAGCAGACTCAAGCTAGTCCAGCTTACAACGTGGATAGAATGAGAGATAAGTGGACAGGACCAAGCGGGTCTCCCTCTTCCCAGAGCCCCGGCGCAAACGGTTGTTTCAAGTTGATAACTCAAACTCAAAAATTTCCGGAATCGACTTTGCCGTTATTTACCCGGCAGTTAATCTATCCCTTATATCAACCCATTTATGGACATGGAATAGACTGGCCGAGGGGAACTATCTCTCGGTCTTTGATCAATTACAGTGGTGCTCTGCTACAAGTGGCCATTGGAGGGAGACGATGTCTCTTTAAGGAAATATCGATCATCTTCAGCAGAAGTCAATGTCTTACATGGAGTAGATCCACTTGACTGGTGCTTCAGTGATGTCGATAAGCTTAAAGCTGCTACGATTACCAGGCAATAAACCTGGGTCATGAACTTGCAGCAACCCACACTTTCTCCCACAGGAATACAACGTTCTCCCCAGATGCACGGCACAGACTGCCACATATCATGGGGCAGACACTAACTCGGCCCGGAAAGGCATCTCCCGAGTTTGGAGGCCCGGGTGTGACGGAATGGGACAGCTTAAGCCGAAAACCTCTGGTTGCGCAGACAGATCATAGTAACAGGAGCCGAGGCTGGGAATTCAAAGCGTGCATAATCGGGTACATCTTCATTCCATATTTTGAGCATGCAGGTTGGTACTCACGATATCATTGTTTCCCAACCTAATTGCCTGGCTGCCTTCCTGATCAGGAAATCTCCGTAGCGGAATCAACCTTAATCACCTGCGATTGTTGACAGGTCATATTTTCATCCAAATTCATGTCGCAAATTTGGGTCAACTCAGGGCTTGGCGTGTTGTCGAAGAGTAACTTCTCACGTGTCGGTTACCTGCCCAGACAATGTGTGAGATCGTCAATCTCCTCTAGCCAGGAAGCAATCTGGTCATCGACTTGAAATGTACATGTATGATAGCTGTGATATCCTAGTTGTGTAAGTGGAAGGAGAAAAAGGAACTGAGGTGTGGACACGAGACATCTGTTGGCCCCTTTTTCCATCTGGTTGACCGCTTGCCCGTCCAATTATTCTGCCACTAAAACACATTGTTCTCTGCCAACAGTCCCCCAATGCGTGCTTGCCGCAACCCTTGATTAACAATTAAGCCCCCCAAAAAAGGAATGACAAAATAAATGTACAACGTAATAGACGGTCAGTCGCTCACCAATCGATATTAATGAAGGGGAATTATTATTCTGACCACTGAAATATCGCGGAAAATATACCCGAGTGTTGTGGTGCTTAATTCTCCGATTTCACAACGCAAAATTAATTTTGCGACTTAAGGTTCGGTGACTTCTTTGGAATAGGTGGCGTGGCGAGTGCCTGCTCTTAGTTCTGGTATGTTTATTGATTCCTATCGGAGTTACTATATATATATCAGGCGTAAATTGATATTTACTATGTAACTTACATATTTTCTGAAAACCCACTGAGAAAATGCCATAAGGACTATGATTCTAAACCATCAAGATTTAATAAATGAGCAGTGCTTGTTCGAGGTTTCTATAACGGGTGGGTACTTAAGTGAGGGATGGGGTAAAAGTTCTTTGGTAGCGGTTATTATAAGTGCCTATAGCTACTTATGAATGTATGCTTTCACTATGCTCTGCAATATCGTGGACATATATTTCTACTAGACCTGGCAAACACTGTTATTGGTGGCTTGTATCTCCTTTATTCATCGATGAGTAAGCTCTACTCCAGATAAGCGAACCATAAGTATTGCTATATGCTATAACCCGATGTTCAGAATCCTTCCAAGGTTGTCCGAGTATATGTCCGGTGGACATCCGGTGGAACATGTCCACCGGAGCGTATCCGAACATCCTCACCTCCGGATTGCAGAACTCGGAGAATTGATGAGTACCTCCCCAACCAAAGCCCAGTAACAGAGCATAACTATAGTGAATGTTAAATAGTAACTCCCAGGCACATCCATGTAACGACAGTGAACTAGCAAGAGAAGCATTCAAATATCATTGACAATGACAGGTCCCACGCCCACATATTTCACCGCCGGAAGACTCCAGAATAAGACAGCCCTCATTACAGGCGGAGCGTAGGGATTCGGCAAAGCAATTGTGAGCAAATTTATTGCCGAAGGTCCCCGGGTTCTGGTTCTCGATATTATCCAGCCGGCGCTAGGAGAATTTCAAGGTGACGTTTGAAACATCATAACTTATGTTCGCGGAGATGTGACCTCTCCGAGTGGCTGGCGGAAAGCTCTTGAACGGGCTTTATCTGTCTATGGTCACTTGGATGTAGTTGTCAACAATTCCGGTGTGTTACACAACGTACAGCCGTCCATTGAGGTCAGTGACGAGGACTGGGAGCGAGTTTTCCGCATCAACGTGCAGCAAATCCACCTCAGAACCAAGACGATCATTCCTTACTTCTTGCAAGAGAAGAGAGGTGGGCATTTCATAAACGCCTCCAGCGCTAGTGGTGCTCGACTCCGACCCAATCTAGTGTGTTATGGAGCAATCAAAGGCGCAGTTAATACAGTAAGCGATTCATACATCTGCGGCAAGGTTAAGAGAGAAAACGACTAATAGGCATGGTTTGGTTTTCAGGCTACAAGGAGACTTGCCATAGGATGGGCACCGCATAACATTCGCGTGATTGCAGTCTGCCCTTCTGTTGGGGTTACACCCATGATGCCGCTTTTCCTGGGTCATGACTCGAGTGATGAGACACATGTGAAAATGCTCAGCAGCATACCTTTGGGTCGTGTATGCCAACCTAGTGATGTGGTCAACACGGTACCCTTTTTGGCAAGTGACTTATTTTACCGGTGATGGCGGCCGTGGGATCCTACCATCTCCTTGTGCGCACATCGATGCTTTCATAGCGTCAGCAGGAGAGCCATCATGCATGCACTAGAGCTAGGTGTGGCCCGGTTATGAGAAGCTGGCCCACCAGCACCCCTCCGAACGGAAGACTCGAGGAAATCGCTACTTTTAATCTCATATTCTCGCGACTTGAATACTCACAGCGCTTCAGAATCTCTCTTATACACAACAACCCAGTGTCGTGGGAATGATCTCTTATGCATTGAACGAGCTGGTGGATAGACAAGCTATTGCTAGACCAAGTAGCTATGTATGTGCACCAGAGAGGGAGCAGGGCGAGCAGTACCGCAGGGTCTTTTATTCCAGCGGTTCCAAGGAAAGGAAGAACCGAGTGCAATTTGATTAAATTAAATTAGCCATTATACATCTACATGCATGATATTTTCACCCTGCTAACACACATTGAGTTCCGGTTTGCAGGTGGACGTCCAGATACGCTGATTGAAACCGAAATGATGGCCTTCCCCGGGGGCATCCAGTTGCTGACCTGGCAGTAACCCAGCAATAAATAGAATACTCTAGAGCTCCCAGCCCTCTGTGATTCTATTCCAATCCCGGCATTCCCTTGGAGGCCTTGCCAGACCCCAACCTGCCCATCTGGCGGGAGACCAGAAAGCTCGTGGATTGGCCTGGCAGGTGAGGAGAAATCCGATATAATACCTGCGTAACAACACAGACTTAGTAAGAAAAACAAAGTGCCCGACTGCTGTACTCACAAACTTCCCGTGGTAGAATCCCACACAAGGTTCTTAGCTTGTTCAGGGTAAGGTAAGTGTCCCCAGTTGTCAAGCTTACTGTTACAGTACGTCATTGAAAGCGAGCGAACAAAAAGGCATTAGGATGACAAACCTGATATTGTCTTTGAATGCTTGACGCACTGCATCCCGCTCTTGCCGACTCAACCCCCAGAATGGTGCAGAGCCGATATCATTACCCAGTTGGAGTCCTGGTACCACTGCCCACACAACCCAAATGACGAATCCACCGGGAACAAAGCCAGTATTATCCTGCTTGTCTTCTTTGCTGTCCAGCAGACGGGGGGTGATGGTTGATCCCTTCTGGGTCAAAGTGCGTAGGTACACTAGTTCCGGTGGACTAAAGGATTCTGCTTGCTTGGCTCGTATGATAGGAGGCTCAGCTTCCGTTCCTCCAATGGGGATCTGCTTATAATAACGCATATGACCCTGAACAGGCCCATTCGGTCCACGTGCTTCGCAGATCAGACGAGTACAGGCGAAGGAGGGGTCATGTCTGTCCCGCAGATCGTCCTCGTTAAGCTGGAAGCAGTGCTCACTAGCTATCTCGTGGATCACCCACTTGGCTTTCATCAGCTGGATGATTGTACCCGGGGCGACCTCGCTTTGAGCAAACCAGCGCGAACGCATGATGGTGTCAGAAGGAAGCGACAAAGAGATGTCGAAGCAACAGATACTTTGATCAAGAGAAATGCTGAAAGTAATAAAAACGACTATTTGCGGAGAAGATAAATATATTGAGATGGGCTTTGAAGAGAGAGAGGGAGAGACGAACGAGAAAAAGAGAGGTCTAAATATGATGATGGAGGCACGGCCAGCGGTAACCTTATTCCAGCCAATAAAACCTAGCTTTGCTTTGGGTGAATTCTTAGTCATGTGTTACTGGTGTATTAATGTTGGACATTCACTGGACGCAAACACTGCGTCTTACTCTCCGTCTTTATAGATAGTAATTTCCCCTTACAATCCATGATAATTTTCCGATTTTGTGGCCATCGAGTCAATCGGCATATCAGGGTATCCTGGCCTTTGGCCTCAACGGTACTTCTGTAACAATTAATATCATAAAGGAGATCGTTTGAGGTACCCAATAGGAATTCATATGGAAAATCAGCCGTAAGACTGTTTTTCCAGTATAGGATTAAACATGTGCTTTATAACCTGATGTGATTTGAGTGCTGACACTATAACGATCCACAACAAGGCCGTAAAAACCAAGCCTTTCATGGAAGACCCACACCGGTATCTTTAGGATAAACACACGTAGAAGCTTCATGTAAACCTGCGAAATGGAACAGCGCTACCATTTACATATAAAGACTTCAAACACGGTTTTCAAAGCTTGCCAAGATGTCAAACGCGCCCCCTCAGGGGAACCCTCGTCCTGAATGCCCAGGATTTGGTCTTGCAGGCTCTACCAACTCTACAAATTGGGCCCGGACATACAACAAGTAGCGCCATTTATAAGGTATCCTTTACAGGGAAAATGCGCCCTTGGGATAGCTTCGTATCCGACGTTGAGAGCCTCTGCAATGCCTTTCAATGGAAAGGAAATCGTGTCGCGAACACAGACTCGGCACCACTCCCCCATCACCTGTCCCGCGAGCAGATCTCAGTTGGCGATGAGACTGGAGCGCAGGGGCGGTTTAATCAGAACGTGGGACAGGTCATGGGAGGAGTGTTTCTGTCGGAAGGGCTTGACATTAAATTTGGCGACTTCAAAAGTTGCGTTCTTGATGAGGTCTACAGTCGCGTGCCCGACTCAGTTATGCGGAGGGGTGCCGGTTCTCCCCTTGCAGTTGGGGAAATGAAATCTCCATGGGTGTCAAGCCACAGAATAAGAGATACTCTTCTGGCTTATAAAGAGTTCATGTTCAGACGGCTTATTGGTAAATAATAATTAGCTATTACAGGATGGCAATACAGCTAACTCACCGTCTTTCAGGCCAAATCGCTAGATATATGCGTGATTTAAAGCTGAAATATGCATATCTCTCAAACTATGAAGAGGCAATGTTTTTCTGCCACAATGACCCATTGGGTGCCCACCAGACGGAGCTCCTTTACTCTGATGTGATTGACTTCAGTAACAGAGCAGTAACCGGGACATCGGTGACTATCAGGCAGTGCTTCTTCTACGTGGGGGTGTGTGCGGCACAGCAGCCCAACCATACAACTTCAGAGTCAAGGACCACGGGCTGGGTCAAGGATATGGTTATGAAATAATCTGATGATGTATTGTAGAAAGAGCTCGGGTCTCTGGATCAGGAAGAAATATGCCGAGATTCCCCCTTTTTTTTCTTTTCATATTTGCCAAATCTCGAAGAAGGTAATTCACTCCTGACGAGGCGGCACAGGCGACGCATGAGGAGGCGCATCAATGAGAGCCGAAGCCTTGGTCAACCAGACGTCGGCGGCAGTATTGCGGGAAGAGTAACAATCACGGTAGATGAAGTTCATCGGGAACCCGACATCGAACGAAGATGCACTATCAATCTCATCAAGGTCCTCGTCCGAGAGGCTTACACTCAAAGCCTCCACATTCGCTTGGAGATGCTCAATCTTGCGTTGGCCAATGATGGGGAACACGTTAGGTGTCTTGTGCATGACGTAAGCTAGAGCCTGTTCATTATTCTCATTAGTTTTCTTTCATAGCAAGACAAGAATGGAATCGGATACTCACAATAGCATGCAAAGTTGTGTTCTTCCTGTTCGCAACCTTCTCCAACGCATCCGAGACCTTGATATCAGTCTCGCTCAATTCAGCGCCACGTGCGCTGCCAGAGCCGGCGTCGCTCTTACGCGCCTCCGCAGATTTGAATTTGCCTGCCCCGAGCGGTGCCCAGGGAGCAATCGCCATTCCTTGGTCTCTGCACATAGGAATCACCTCTCTCTCAAGGTCTCTGAATCCAGCGTTCCATCTTCCTTGGTACACGGAGAAAGGACGAAGGCCGTGGGCTCGAGCGTAGTCGTTTGCCTTGACGACAACCCAGGCGGGGGTGTCGGAGACACCGAGGTAGAGAACCTTGCCCGATGCGACCAGGTTGTTAAGTCCGTGCATGACCTCTTCCACGGAGGAAGTAAAGTCCCACCAGTGTAGATAGAGGAGGTCAATGTAGTCAGTCTGGAGCTTTTTGAGACTGTGCTCGACAGAGACCCGCATGCTCTTCATGGAGTTGCCGACGAAGTTGGATTGGAGAGGCTCGGTGTCGCGGTGGGCGGTGCGGAAGCCTGTTGTGTATTTGGTTGCGATGCTAATAATATCAGTTCCTTGTTCAAAGTAAGGTATGAAAAGATACTGCTACATACACCATCTGGTCGCGGTTCCCGCGAGCAGCCATCCACTCTCCGATCCATTTCTCGGATTCTTCGAACTGATAGTTGTTGGCCCTTTAGTGGAAATGATCAGCATCTTACAGCGATGTAGTTGTAGTAGTGACATACGTGTCGATGAAGTTGCCTCCGAGTCTGTAAAATTCATCTAGCAGGGCAAAGGACTGCTCCTTGTTGCATTCTCCCATGAATTCCTTCCTGGAAACCGGCAAAAGCCTGGTTAGTTGACCAGTCACACAAAGATAGTACAGATGTCATACCATGAGTCTCCAAAGTTCATAGCTCCCAGACACAATGGGGAGACCTTGACACCAGCAGAGGGTGCCAATACACGGTGGTAGCCGAGACGGCTCGCGGGCTTGGGGGCGGGGGCGAAGAGAGACATAATGATAGTTGATGAGCGGATAACGACGTTTGTGCTTTCGGTGATGTCTGAGGAAGACGTGGTCTATATATGTTTTCGGAATTGGCGGCGATAGACTTAAACTCCGATTACCTCCAGGCCCGAAGTTGTAGGAGGCATGGGGATACGGGTGATCATGACGCGGAGTCTCCACCAAATGCCGCTTTTGGTGGACCGGAGCTTGATGTCATCGGGTATACCATCGAACTCATATCCCCGATCCATTGACTGTGAACAATGTGTAGTCAATGAAAAATCAACTTGGACTCGCAGTCAGATCAATGCATCCGAGCACCAGGGTAGACGATTCAGTTGACTTTGGGAATACGAAGCTCCTTCATGTGCCTCGGGTGTCATCCGATGTGGCATCACACTTGTATCCCCGTTAATTCCGTGAGGGGGAATAAGTGCTGACCGACCCACAGCGGGGAGATCCACCCATCTAAAGCTGCGAGTTGCTGCTGACACTTACTTGTAATTGGCCTCACCAGAAACCTTCAGCAAGGTATGCTACATGGTTGGTGGTATCTCGCCGACCTACTGTGTTACAGGAGGCCCAGCCGTGACCCGAGCGGAAGCGACGGAAGGTAATCTTCTAGGGTCCCCTTGTTGTCCGGATCGGAAGACCAGCAACAAAGACGAGACGTGACATAATTGATGGTTGAATCTGCAAAGCTCCTGTAAAGGAAAGATTGTGATCACAAGTGTTATATTTGAGATAGTGGAGGTAAGCCCCTGGGCTTACATCTGGGTTAAGATACACACACTACAATCTCGAGGATCCTTCTTTTAGGGCCAGCCATTGACTGCCAGTTGGGATCCCAGTGCAAGTCGTTTAATAGGGAAGTAAAACGCAGAATATGCACGACCATATGGAGCATTCCCGCCACCTCACTGTCAGTCGACTTACTGATGCGGTTTACGTGCTTCTCTCGTTTCGCGTTATTCCCGAGCTGGATGGGAACAAGGATCGAGGGGGTTTCCACTTCGCAGGTGCGACCGGGGGGTCGGGTACTATCAGAAAGAAATATATACTGTGGGGAAATTTCTGACATCTTCGCCCGATACTAGCCTGTGGTTTCTTGCATCGAACTTCCACAATCTCATGTATGCAATTGACCCAAATCGCCGAGTCCACTCGGAAAGGACGGCATTACTCCTGGGTGTGACACACTAGACTATCGGAATCATCTATTGGACTGCAGACTCAGGCTACCAGGCGACAAAGAGACAGTCCCAGAACTGTGCTGGACTACTGGGGCTTCAATAGCCCAACACCTTGGCAACCCGAGGAAACAGTTGAAGCGCATTCTGGTGGTTGATGCGCGCCATCTCGGCATCAGTGAATTCGCCGTTGCCCTGAATGGCAGGGAGCGCGGCCTCGCTCTGTGGAAGGGGAACATACGGGTCTGAGACATCATTAGACTCCTTATCGATGGGATGCAAAACTGCAGGAAAACTAAGGTGACTCACAATCTGTTCCAGTCAGAATCTGGTTCACCCCAATGAAGCTTTTCATGGCAGCGAGTTGAATTGCTGAGGTGGCAGAGGCCGTGTCAAAGTAATAACCTGCAAGCTCCGCCAGGGACCTGGTCATATTTAGAGACCCCAGCAACGACATGGACGCCATTCCAACAATACGGCTGGCCAGATAGGGCATTGCGCCCCCGCCATGGGCAAATATCATCTTGAAATCGGGGGTCTTAGCGCGCTGGCCAGTCAACAACAAATTCTCCATCGCCCGCACGCTGTCAAACGGGTACTCCGTCAAAGGGAACGGGTAGCCCAAGCTCACGGACTGACATCCCGGAGCTGCTGGATGAACAAACACGGTGGCCTGTCGCTCATTCAAAATTGAAAATACGGGACTGAGAGTCGAGTCGCCAAGGTAGGTACCGTTGGCGTTAGTATACATGCCCACACCGGGGAACTTGAGCGTATCGAGGCAAAACTAATAGATCTATTAGCCAGGATTGTACTAATGTCGAGCAATCAACCTACCTTCAGTTCAGCGACCGATTCTTCCACATGCGGAAGGGGCAACAGGCAAAGCGCCCCCAGTCGAGTCGGGTGAGCCTGGGTGTAATTATGCATGGCAAGATTGACGGTGCGGGCGAGTGCATGTGCCTCCTTAGGATCATTGAGGAAGTAGACCCCGGGAGCATTCACGCTGATGGTCGAAAAGTTGATGCCCAAGGTGTCCATCGTGGCCAGGTGTGATTCCAGCGTCCAGTTGGGCACCGGGAAATCGTCAGTATACAGCGTTCCATTTTTCACAGGGTAGCCAGCAGCAATCAGGGCCTCTCTCCAAACCGGAGGAATGACATGAGAGTGAACATCGATCCGGTAGCCTGTGCTGATGTTGTTCGCCCGAAGGTTATGCCCGGCGACCACCCATGCCGACAACACGCCAAGTAACAGAGATCTGATGCCCAGCATGAAGGGCAGAAGTAATGACAGAGATATGAAAACGAATATTTGATAAAGGAAAGACCGTCTACGATGTCAGGGGATCTTAAAGGACGGATAGCCCGGAATCTCGGACGAAGTTTAGTTCCCGGATGGAACTTTGTGCCCTACGCTAGGCTGCCAAGTCAACCGGTTGCCGACTATCAAGAAGCCAATCGGCCGCCGGCCTTGTTAGCGGTTTGACACATATTGGATCGGGCGTTAATCGGCTGATCTCGCCAGTGACATCGACCAATGCTTAAACAACGTTGGCCTGCTATAGGCATGGGTCCTGCCTAGGCCCTCAAACGGACATCCCGATCCCGAACCTATCTGTTGAGCTTTCATGACGGAATACGCTAGTTAAGTAGCGTTGATTACATTTCTTTGGGCATTGGCCAAGAAGACGAGTATTATGGTGGTAATGAGCCATCGGGTATCCCTGTCGCCAAGGGCCTTAGGGCAGCTTCTACTTGATGTTTAGTGGGATCAGACAGTCATGCCCCTTTTTCGGCCGCGCGCAGTGTGTGCCCAGCGATAAAGTCTCGTTCTCATCTCACGATGAGCCCATTTGTGCTGGGCTCTACGGCCTTACCATGCAGCAAAGCTTTCCAGCACGCTCAGAGGCAAGTGCTTGAAGCTTGTGCACCGTGCTATACTGATTGCTGGCTTAGAGTGAGGACCGTGGGCCCTTGATTGTCATCATCAATGGTACCGTGACGGGTTGTCAGCGGCCGTCGTTGTCCTGCGATTCGTATGCCGAGCTGCGATTGTAAAACGGCTAGACTTGGATGACTGGACAATGATGCTCGCCACGGTCACGGCCATTTTGAATGTTGCCATTGCAGGTCTTGGTATGTACATATAGTTCAGATAGCAGTATTGAAACTGATGCCGGATATCCTGCTAGGGGTCAAATATGGTACAGGGAAACATGATGACATTCTTCCGAAGGCCGATGCGTTGCCAGCAGCCAAGGTGCGTCCGCTTGCTCACATCTGTTTTCACCCCTCCCAATGACAGCCAACGGCGTGATTGCCTGTAGATTCGCTACGTCACTCACATAATATACACCCTCATTACTGGCCTGATCAAGACGTCAATCTGCCTATTATACCTGCGCCTCTTCCCGAATCTTCGCAACATCACTCTAGGCACCATCGCTTTCATCGCCGCCATGAGCATCGCCATTATCCTTGCCACCATCTTCCAATGCTCTCCGGTGGATGCGGTTTACGATCCCCAAAAATACGACCACTATAAGTGTTTCGCATCTATTCCATTTTGGTATACTACTGCCGCCTTATCACTGGTGACGGATCTGTGGATCTTAGCTTTACCAATTCGGACTATTTTAGGAGCGTTTGTACATCAGAGAGACGGTTAATGGCCTGAGAGTGCCGTACGGCACATACTCACGAGATTAGGCTTACAAATCGGGCCAATGAAGCGCACGGTAGTCATCGGGCTATTATCTTTGGGGATGTTGTAAGAGTGCCACCGGACCAAGTTATGAAACATATACGACTAACAGGTTGCCACGAAGTGCTTGCATTGCCAGCATTGTTCGAATGGTGTACATCATCAAGCTTTACGAGAGCACCGATCCAAGCTGGAGCACATTCAGCGTGTCCGTGTCGTCAGGCATCGAAGTAGCTATCTCTATCATTGCCGCTAGTTTGCCGAGCACCAAGCCAGTCATCGATCTGATATTCCCAAGCCTGTTCTCTACCACCGCCAAGTCCCATACAACTAGCGGAAGATTGTATCCCATTCAGGCCTCAGGCCGCAGTCATCGCCACCATGATGAGATCTCACTTGTGCATTTGACTATGGAATGTGATTCCGGGAAGGATAACTCTACGACCGCACTGTCTCATGGTTAATACAATGAGATCGACACCTATTAATGTTTCAGTCCCCCCGATACCTGATGAACAACGATTCCAGGCTGTTGCGATATATATTATAGAAGAACGTAAACTAGTACATACAATCACGGGGTGTGGGAAACAGGGCTTCCCGTCCGTTCAGCCGTACTTAAGCCACACGCTGGGAGGTTAGTAGTTCGGTAAATAATTACTAGCAAATCTTTCATATTATATATTGATATTCACCTATTTTTTGTAATTAAATACATTCAATATACTTACTTTCTTTTCATTTCTTTTTGGTTTCCTTTACCTGAACACTGATTCTCTCTACCCCAACTCTATAGAGTTATATCTAGATATATCCCGAGTATTCTGTACTACTAAGCAATTATATATTCTCGCATATTGTTTTTCTATTATGTATTCCTATTGATATCTTATTATTTCTAGTATAATCCAGAAGAATCTTTACTGCTAACTATATGAACTTAAATGTAGATTATATCAGTAGTAATGCATGTAATAATAATTATTCATTTAATGATATTATAGTATTATCTGGTTTTTTCATATTCTGAGACTTAACAAGAAGCCACGCTGGCACCGGTAATTCTACCAGACCATCCCCTATACCATCTCAGAGTTCCAAGTTATTACAGTAGTGATTGTTATTACTTTCCATATAGGTATACAGAGGCGTACTCTTTCAACCCCCAATAACATGACTCAACAAACCTAATTCGGAGATATAGTAAATTAATGATCTAGTAAAGGCATAGTAAGAATACCCCAGTTTTGCACCTATGTATATAAACTACTAGGTCAGGAACCAGGGCCTAGACAATTCTACTAGAAGGCTTGTTCCAAAACAAGCACAATAAGGAGCGTTAGCAATCTGTCAACGTTGCTCTTCCATTACTCACGTGCCCCAGTACTGACGGTATACATTGCCCTGCTTTTGCATTTATGGTCAGGATTGTAGGAAGGGCCTTGTCAATGAGTTTTGTTTCGTGATCAGTACTCGGTACCAAATATCGCAGTCTGTATTTGGCATCGGGCATTCCTGGCTAACCCCTTACAGCCTACGCTTGTCCAGATATTCGATCAGACGATATAGCATATTGAAGTGTTATTGAGCTTTTGAGAGGTATCTGAGCTCTGGACACCCATAGCATCTGAGTTTCTTGTATTGTCACTCAAACGATCGCCAATCAGTCGAAGTCCACGACAACCTTACCAAAGTGGCTTCCCTTCTGAAAATAATCAAATGCCTCCTTAAGTTCATAGAACTTGAATGAACGACCATCAATATGTGGCTTAAGGTAGCTTACTTCAATGGCAGCATTCATATCCTCTTGAAGCTGTCGACTGCCAACCAAAATTCTTCGAACGGTCGCTAGCACGGAGCTATGAGAGGTGCCCGCCCCCGCTTCAGATCCTCCTCTTCGTCCGATGGTTGCGATACATCCATCGTTAGCAACTGCTTGGGAAGATTGAGCGTTGAGCCATAGTATTGGCAATCTCGACCACAAAATCAGCTCCTCTCTTTCGGTGCGATTGGCGTTTGGCAGTCTGGCCCCATTCGCTATCCTCGGCATAATTTATTATCACATCTGCGCCTAATTCTCGCAGCTTTGCACCCTTCTCCACACTGCTAGTTGTCGAGAAGACTTGTGCGCCACCGAGCTTGGCGAACTGGAGAGCAAATATGCTAACACCGCCGCTGCCTTGCGTGAGAACCACATCACCCGGCTTCAACTTTCGCGGACCACCATAAAGGGCATTCCACGCTGTGAGTGCAGCCCAAGGTAGAGTTGCAGCTTCAAGGTAAGACAAGGTGGATGGAATCTCCACGCAACCATGCTCATTGAAGACAGCGTACTCGCGAAATACCCCGTCATAGGTTCCGCCCAGCTGATTCTGAATGTCTGAATCCTTCACAGAACCATAGAGGTGTGTCAAATGAAAGATAGGTGAAAGCCGTTGTCCAGTAGTAAATCTGGTCACCTTTGGGCCAACTTCGACAATCTCACCCGCAGCATCAGAGCTTTGTCACCAGTCAGTACTCACTTAATCACAACCAAAATAGTACAAAGCCTGAGTACTCACCCAGGAATTACTCCCTCCTTAGTTTTGACATAATATTGTCCCTGCCGTTCAATGTTATTTCGTTGCTTCGATTCTCGAAATACCCAACAAATTGAAAGCATGATACGATCTCACATTTGCAATCATGATGTCTCTGAAGTTGAGTGAAGCTGCGTGGAACTTTACCAGAACCTCGTGGTCACTTGGCTCGGGAATAGGAACATCTTGGAGCTGGAGGGAATCCGTCCCGCAAGTTCCGCTCAGCACCCACTGCTTCATTGTCGGTTGACCGTTAGATCAATTCATCATAGGGAACAGCGGAAGTGAACGATTTAAAATTAAATTCGAATTTGTTTTCGTTCTATTAGCTTGGATATCGGTTCTCCTTGTAAAGTCAAATTAGCACATTGAGACAAACGCAAATCGAACTGCTTTATAGTTAACTGTTTGGGAGGGGATTTGTAATATGAATACCCCCCACCCCCCCTCATGGCGGGAAGGTTCCCTATACAGTATCCCGACGGAAGCCTTACCTGGATTGTAGCTTCCGTCTCTACAGGCAACAACCATATGCCACCATCAATTACATCGAGTCTGTTGCTATAGAATATGTTGGAACTAACCTCAGTGATTATTCAATAGCCATAGACATGCAACCCTGAAGACTTGTATTTTAACTGCTTCTCTGAGTTATCCACATAGGAATTAGTCAAGCATTTCCTCCAACTTCAATATTGACCTAAAATGTTGTTACAACAGAATATATGAACAATCACCCTATGTTATCAGGTATCAATATCTCTAGTTATTTTGTAAGTGGCTAGGAGACTGCATTTGCGAGGTTTGAGGAGTGAAAATGATCGGCCCTATGGCGACACTGTATTTACCCAAAGAATATGCTTGTGGCAGCTGGCAGAAGGATAGTTTGGGTGAATTTTGATTTTTCTACAATATATAGCAGCATGGACCCTCGCGAGAAGGTATGTTGCGATTAAGAAACCGAACTCCTCGAGACTTTTGAAAATCTTCTGGTTTGCATAACTTCCTTTAACTCAACCCTGATAATAGTAGCCGACAAAATGACGCACCAGAGTGACGACAAGTGACAGAGCCTTTCACCCAACACAATGTACTACTAAGCCACATGCCACTAGCACGAGCAAACTGAACTGGCACAATGTAAAAAAATGTAAAGGTAATTACGCAGACACAACGATCGTAAACATGATAGCAAATCATATCTTCTCTATGGTGATACCTGAATGTCGGAGATGGCCTTTGGCGCTATCTTGTTTAGCACCTGCTTCACACACGCACTGCTGAAGGAACGCATGAAACCCTGAGTCGGAATTCTTTTCATATACTGACCAAGCTTTCTTTATATATACCTTCATCTCAGCAATGAGTTCCTTGATAGAGTTAAAATCAGGCAAATACAATAGAAAATACAGCAACTTGACGACTGCCTCAATATATAGGATCGCATTTATGCAAACTTACCTTCGGTGATAAGGTTTGATCACGTGTATGAGCTTACTCGTACTGCTAGATCTCTTCCAACAAAATTATGCGCTTTTTGGTGCTGTGCTTTGACATTATTGCACTTCCGCTGGAAACGGCATGTACATATGCCCACCATTAAGGAACCTGTACATATGCCCACCATTAAGGAACCCACTCGATCATGGTTTCAATTCCTCGAATGCTTGTGAGAATTTTGATTGACTCGCCGATACAATCGTCTAATATGTTGAAACGTACGACTACTTCCTCATTTTGCGACAGGCGTGGAGCATACAAACATCTATGGGATTATTCCGTCATAGGTAGACAAAAATGCGAATCTGATTTGAAGATTTGTGACAGTGACCAGTGAATCATTGACAATTACCGAGGTGTAGCTCGTCAGCCATACCATATTGACTTTCTTTTTCTACGTCTAAGTAGTAGTAGACTTTTTTGCTTCCGAATTACGTTCATAGGGTGACTTCGGCCCAGTGGTAGAGCGTGTCCGCAATAGACATCCAGGAGATAAAGAGAAGTTTGCTATGTGTGTCTTGGTGGAAAGTATGAGAGAAAGGACGAAAATCTCTTCGGCAAGATATTATTTACATAGCATGCACTAGCCCTAGCGGTAATGTAGTCTACCAAGAAGATCAACCTTGAGATAGTCAGCAAGCACAACACCCTCGATGTTAGGGTTCATTATTCAGCCGTGCCATAATCTTTGGCTCATCTGGGCGCCCCTCGTCAATGTATTCACGTGTTTCGCCTGCAAAGCCCGCTTTCTCGGCGTAGCCGTGGCCAGGTGAGACGAGAGATCCTGGTAGTGTGAGCTGGTGAGGCTCTGTGTAACATTCTGAGATGGGCATATCATACCATTCAACACTCCGAAGTAATAGTTCATATCGATTGGTTTGCCTTGCGTCCAAATGTTATCAACCTTGAGTGCCTTGTAGTGGCAATACGTTTACTCTTCGACCTTTCATCCTTAATACGATGGCCTAGAGACTTATACATTATGCTGAAGTATTGAAGGGATCGCTGTGTGGATATCTTGAGTCTCCCGATGAGTATCACAACTCATGCGGATTAGTACTTCAGCCCTGCCAGTTATTTATCAGTGAGATCAAGTCTGAATGCAGGATACATTCTCTTCTCAATCAGGAATAAGTACATACGACCATAGGGTGTGGAAAACAGGGCTTCCCGTCCGCTCAGCCGTACTTAAGCCACACGCCGGGAGGTTAGTAGTTGGGTGGGTGACCACCAGCGAATCCCTTCTGTTGTATGTACCCTTTATCTCTTTTGTTTTTTGTCTTTTTCTTGCGCTAATCGGGGCCCTGTTAGTAATTCTCTCTCCCCACCCATTGAAGCTTTCGCGATCTTGATGGTACTGGCCCTCGGCAAGTGTCGCAGAGCGTTGTCTCTATAGTGAAGGCGGCGATGGACCCTTGAGACTTGTTATCAGTGGTACAGTAACACGAACTCAAAGTTGCCATGGCTGTCTCGACATTCGTGTCATGGGCTGGAATGGGGATGCCTGCGGGATTATGCCTGCGACGGTGCAGCAGTGATATCACATCAAGCACAGAAGAATCAGCGCTTCCATACAACATAGTCTAGGTCTTTAGTTGTCTCAACCTTGTATAGATAGCCGATATTATTCTCGGGCTACTAGAATATAGCTCACAATACCGGGGGTCATCAGTTATTTCGTTTCCTACTTTCTTGGTTCTGAGCTGTCTGCTTTCCTTCGTCTTGTATGATGACCGGTTTGTGCTTCGTGAGACCAGTGTTCAAGTTTGTACCAACATCGGACAACTCTCAGCGACAATTCTTTCCGGATGTTTGAGATCATGTCAGCCTATCTAGTACAGCACGTAGGACGTAGATTCCGAAAATGGAGTTGAGATTTACCAATGTGTGCATGCAGGCTTAGGATCTTTGATAAATGCGAGACCGGCTTTTGTTGTAGTGCTATCCCGGCCTATTCAAAAAAATTACAGTATCTATCCAATCGTGCATGAGGCACTTTGACCGAAATGTGCGGCTATCCAAGTAGATGGAAGTCCTATGTTTTCATGGTGACTCTTCCATGAATGGAGGTTCAAGGAAGGAAAGGCATGCAAGACCTAATTCGGGCGGTAAGTACGAGACCCTTCGGCTCTGTGTCCTGGAGAATCTTCCGAACAACACAATCAAGCATTGAAGATTGCTGAACTCCAGGAACAGACAGGAAATTACACTACATTCTGGTCTGGAAACTTGATGTAACCCACCCCGACCACTAGTATTTGACAAAGAAGGACTTGGGTCAACCTCCCAATAAAATACTATCCGTGAATTGACATTGTACATACGACCATAGGGTGTGGAAAATAGGGCTTCCCGTCCGCTCAGCCGTACTCAAGCCACACGCCGGGAGGTTAGTAGTTGGGTGGGTGACCACCAGCGAATCCCTTCTGTTGTATGTATTTTCCTTATATTTTTTACTTTTTATTATTACTTCTGATTTGTTTGTGCACGGAGCCTAATTTGATTATTTTTGTATCAGAGAGAATTGCGGCTGTCGTCATGATCGTACATACGTTGGCAATCATCTACGGCAACTACCCCTCCATACAGCAACATAGATAAATATCCGGGCGGAAAGAAAGAGGTTTCCCCCGTAGCAACTCACCACTGTCTGTGCGAATTTGAGACTAAAATCCACTCCTTCCCCAAATAATCTTCATCACATACACCCTAACTCAAACCAAACCGGCATCTCCAACGGCCCAGGACTCTCCACATCCGCAACAGTACACTCCTCCGTAACAGGCTGTCGAAACGACAAATCACTTTCATCGCCACAATCCGATCCAGAACTATTATACATTTCGAATGTAAGTGTCATGTCGCTGTCATTACAGGTATACGCGGCGTCAATATTGAACATCTGGAATGAGCCCGCGTAGTCATAGTACCCGCCGTTGCAGTCGCCCAGGCTGGGGTACACCAGCGAGAAGGAGATGTCGGTGCAGTTGGTGTCTTTGTAGACGAAGAGGGCGGGGTATTTGTAGAAGTAGGCTGTTGTTGGGTGGGGAGTTAGGAGGAGGAGCGTAGTTATACTGGTTAGGGCGGGGAGGGGGAGCTGAAGAGGTATTAAATCATCAGATTTGGTTCTGTGGAGGGTGAGATGGAGATGTCATCGCACCTTGAATCTGGGGAAGATTCTGGGCATGATGGGCGTAGCAGGTGGGCTGAAGTGCTGGGGTTGTGGAGGAAGAGTGAGGTGGGGTGAGATTCGGGTGGCAAGTTGAGGGTGTGTTGATACTACTTATATACTCTTTTTCTAGCGATCAAGGTTGTATTTCAGCAGGTAGTGATAATACATTCTAGCAGATCATATTGACTGTAGTATCCACGCCACGGTTCGTGTTTCTGCACGATTAATGTCAGTAAGATTGAGTGGCTTGCAACTAGATATGCATGTTTGGGGGGAAGTGAAACAGGTGCAATCACGACGAGGTGTGATGCATCATGGTCAAGACGTCTTCCCGCTAATGATAGTTCCCCAATATTCCGATTGGTAGTGCAAGGGAAAAGAAATTCTCTAGTTAGCAATGCTGCTCAGTGTGGATGTGGTGGCCGTACGCATGTCAGATTAAGCGTCCTGTCATGTATGGTTCGGTGCCCTGTATCTTACTTCTGTTATTTCTTTTTATTCCCTTACTGGAACTGTTAGTGGTTCTGCATTCGTGTAGACTATTGGTATCCAGAGTTATGTAAACCGTGTGCCCAGCAACTGACTAGGAGAGTTGCGGACTATTATACATAGCATTGAGTCATATCAACATCCAACGATGACATCTAACATCACTCATGGCTCGTAGTAGAAATAGAACAAATCAACAAACTATTAACAAAGATCTTTTTCTGTCGACACAAAGTCAACACCCCACCACCTCCCATGATTCATTTACAAGCAAGCTAAGACAGCGGCAAAAATGGCAACAACCGAGCCAGCAGCAGGCATGGTCATGGCAGAGCCAGCGCTAACGGCAGCGGAAGACGATGCCGAGCTGGATGAGGAAGAGGTAGTAGTGTTGGTATCATAACCAACGACGCCGGTGGTGTTGACACCAGACACATAAGTAGTGCCGTTACGGCTGTAGGGAATGTTCACATCCAGGCCGTACGAAGCATCATACGGGAAGGGAGCAGTGTAGTTGTAGGTCGGGTTCTGGCCCTTGTAGGCGTCAATGACGGACTGCAGGATACCATTTCCGGCAGAGCAGGTGTCGTTGGTGGTAGGAATAGGCCAGTTAGCACGGTACTTGGAGTAGCCCCATTGCTCCAGGGGACCGGGCAGAGACTGGTTGATGTAGAGGTGGGTAGGATCAACGTCCCAGTTGGTGTAGCCGACCTTGTCAGCGACGAAGCTGAAGATGTTGGCACCGCAATCCCAGCGACCCAAGGAAGGAAGACCCCAGTTTGCCTCGACGGTGGCCAGAGTGGAGTAGTGAGTGTAGACGGTCTCATCCTTGGTGCCGATGAGGTGGTCGGGGATAGCACCACCGAGGAGAATACTGAAGACGCGGTTCCGGTCGTTGTAAATCTCCGACTCGGGGACACCGTAGGTCTCGGTCTCGTCGAAGGTCAACAGCAGCAGAGTGTTGTCCCAGAAGTAGGTGTTGTTCATGAGAGGCTCAACGAAGCTGCGCAGCCACTTGGAACCGAAGGTGATATTGGTATCGTGAGCATCGTTGGTCATGTCTTACTAGGTTAGTATGGACAGTGTGTAGAGGTATTGGGAGAAACGCACTAGGAGTGATAAAGGCCCACTGAGGGAGGACTTCGTTCTTCATGTCCTCTTCGAAGCTAGTAAAGTTCTTGATGAGGCGCAAAGCAGTGTCATTGCTAGAGATTTTGTCAAACATAACCAAGGGGTCGTGCTTGCGCATGTAGTCATTCGCGCCGGTTTTCTGGTTCGAGTAGTTGTACCCCTGGAACCCGGGGTAGGGCAAGTGCTCCTGGTAGTGTGCCCAGGAGATACCCTTGGGGTTGAGCAGATCCGCCAGTGTCGAGACATTGGAAGGAATGTCATGGAAGTTGTCTGCCGCGGATGATTAGCATTGGGTCGGCTTCCGGGATGCATTAGCATTACCGTTGTCCATGCCATAGTTGTCTCCGCTCACTGAGGCACAGTAATTGGGCTGCGAAGTGTGGCCAACACCGTAGTAGTTGACCAGGGTAATACCCTTGCTAGCCAGCCACTGCTGGTTGGTGTCATTGGCAGCATTGACGTAGTCCTATGACTAATTATGAGTATTGCGACATACCATGGGACAACACATGGATACTTACGACATTCTCCAGCCAAATCTGGTAGAAACGGTCGAAGGACTTGCCAGTGACATTGGAAGTCCAGGTCTGGGGCAACGTGGTCGCCTGGGCCCTCTGGATAGCGGCGAGCGGAGGCTCTGTGGTGGTGATGGTGGCACCGGCGGCCAGCCCGGCCAGGGTGAGGAGCGCAGTCACAAAAGCCATTGGAAGAGGTGCTCAAAAACAGTGAGTAAAAGTTACCTGGGCTTTCATAGCAAGTTTCAGGGCATATCGTCCTTTTATCCTGCAGTGCCTTGTGCACACTGGGCGGCATATCGGCCGATGCGACCGTGGCGGAATACTATCTAGTAAGGTACCTACTTACTTCTACCAGGGACGGACTAGCAGTACCTTAACCCCGCGGGCCAGTCAGAAATGGGGTTGACTTCACGTTCCTGCCGGCAGGAAGAGCGAGTGACAATCGAGGGATAACCAAGCGGGGGCTTCATCCATCGATCCACTCCGACTGGATCGCGGTGGAGTCTCTCTCCACCCACTTTCAAGGCTTCAATTTCGGGGTTTCCAGCAACACCCCTTCCTCCCTACCCAATTGCAATGGCTATCCCCTGCGCGTGCTTGCTGGACCTCGAACGACTTGCACAATCACACCATCTGTTCAGCCCTGAATGAGACAGCCTTGTGGTATTCGCCCTCGACCAAGCTCACCAAGCTTCACGGATGGGTGGATGTGGCCCGGCTTATCCCACGTGCCCGCCACTCTCATCTGGCGGAGATAAACGCGCAAAGTTGGAAGACTGATACCCTCATCCAGCCCGGTCGCAACCCGGCGGACTCCGGAGATGCTGTTAGTCAAGGAGACCAGTATCAAGGGACTCAATCCTTCCAGCCGCTGCTCTATTCCAAGTGGTTAGAAGAAATGCACATGTGACTACTTTCTGCACCAACATCTCGGCATCTACTCCATATCCCGAAAAGGTAGCAAAGACTGCCTTGACCACCATTCGATAATTGGATGTACACGACCATCCTAGTGTAGACACACAGTGGAACGCTGATTAGCTTCAGCTTGCATACAATTGGACAAGCCTTTGTCCATGCGCTTTTTCAAGACATTCGAATCCCACCCAGGTCCACCATGTTCACAAAATCACCGGGTTTAAAACGGAGCCCGAGCAAGAACGGCTAGGGCAATTTAGCACTAGCATATCGCAGATCGTACTCAAGGCATGCTGTCGCGTGCGCACTCCCTATTGGGGATTGCTCCTCGTGCCATCTGTTCGTATGACAAATGGATATGGACATGCAAATATTTCTCCAAGTTGGTTCTCAGAAAGCTCAGCCGTTGTGCTTCGAAGAAGACCGACGTTGCATCCAGGTAACCGTTCATTCTGCCCTTCAAGATAGTGATCTTATCGCAGTTGCAAATCGCCTATCACTATCTTTCACAGTATCTATGCCGAGACCATGGCATCTTTAGCTTCGTTGTTCCTGCTGGTTGTGCCTCCCACCCCCACTTTAGACTATGTCTGCCTGAGGCGGGAACTATTAATGCCTCAGGCACTCAAACGAAGCGCACTCTGCGTGAAATACCCATGAAACTTGTTGGCATTATTTTGACTCAAATGGTAAATCCAGTAAGAGATACTGTGATTATAATAGAATATCTAGGATGCGTTAAGCTATTGGTACTGCTGGTATCAGTCGATCTTTTAACAATCCTTCCGGGTCCTCGTCGAGGTCCATGTATCTGCCTTCTACGCGCCTGCTTCAGAAGGCAAGATCCAGTCGATATTACGTAAGGCTTACTTTTCGTATATACAGAGTCCCTCCTTCCAACTACTTGGGCATAATTCCAGCCTGAGGCGTTGCGTACGGGGTTCTATGGCTGGCCGGTGTAGCAGTAGGGTCTCCCATCTATGAATCCTCGGCACATAATCACCAAATCAACCCCGCTTTTCGAAACATCGCAAAACTCTCCAACCAGCCCTCTACCGGATCCTGATCCCCCTCAAAACCGGTCTCCTGAAGCCTTTCCACACTCAACTGCCGATCGAAAGTCAACCAATACCCGACACTATCCAACTGACGATACCCCACTCCGACCCCGCCAGTAACAGCTTTCGGACACCCATTTTGGGTAAAGATGTCCCGATATTTAGTTATATACTCCCCAGGTGCGAGTACCGAAGCCCGCTCAGGGACTTCCCCAACCTTCAAAGTATTATGTTCCGTCTCAGGAGCAGATTCAATAGGTGGCACGCCCACAAGACCAAACCATTCTGCCAACCGAGGCCAGAGCGACCCGTATGTACACGGTGTCGCACGGTCAGCGACATTGAATAACCGACCACCCCCGCACATCTCTGGATGTAACGACGCGAAGATCATGAATCGCGCAAGTCGGTTGCTGGATACGGGGCTGAATAGTGACGTAGCACCAGCCGTGGACCCGGGGAAGGGGACCTCCACAGATGCCTTGGTGGTCTCCTCTTTTTCTTGGGTATGTGGTCCAATGCCATTGTTGTAGGCATATATGGATAGATATTGTGCCCAGTGCAACGCCAAGCTGAATTGTGATCCATTTGGTGTGAACCCAACCTGTTATTACGATTAGTCGTTCCATTCGTTAGGGAAGATGAAGGAAGGACTGACAATTGCGTCCGGACACACTTCGCACCAGGTCCATTTCCGTTCCTTGCTGGATGAATCGAGTATCTCGCGGTATATTGGATAGACCACTGTCTTGGCATAGTCTGATGGGAGGCTGTTCACCAATTCTTCGCGTAGAGGTGGAGTGAACGTTCCGCCGGCGGAATAGATGCCGTATCCCTAGCCAATGTCTGGTCAGGGGTGATTCCTCTGCACACTTCAAGGATAATAAGTACTCACCCTAGTTCCACCCACAAATGCAACGAACTGTAAATCCGGACTGATCAAGTTATGCGCATCAATGACATTTTGCAGCATACGTCGATTTGTCGCTACTTCTTCCAAGTCGTCGTCCATGGCGGCGAAGGCTACTCGCTGTCAGAAAATTCCACATAACCACCATGATGAGATATAACTATACCCAAGTAATAGACATGAGTCACGCCCTCACTATCCTCAACAACCTCCCTCAACCACTCCACCAGTCTATCCGGATCCCAGCTGCGAAGATCAACGCCCGAAGCCAATTGCAGCTGGGGCCGATTAGAACCTGCCTCTGGCCAGTATGTCTGCGAAGGATCGAGGGGTCTGTTTGTCACAGCTGTGACCTTTTGAAATGTCCCAGCGGCAGGATATGGACTCAAGAGCTGGTTTATCAGCGCCCAGCCGATTAAGCCTGATGCGCCGTAGACAATTGCATGGTTGGGAGAGTTTAATGGCATTCTGGAGTGATTGAATGCCCCTTCTGATAAATTGTATTTGTATACCTTGCAAAGTAGGGGAGAGTAGTTCGAGACTTATATAGATAGAATCTTGCGTCGGGGTCGCAAAATGATCGTGGACGGTCGGGATCCCGGATAGGTTTAGCCTGTCCGGGACATATGATGAGTGCATGGCACGTCATTTTGTGGGAAGTACAGATTTCGATTGCAAATCTTGAAAATTTGGATTCTCAAACCCGTTTCTGCGGGCGCTGTTTGAGATTGTAAGATGGTCCGATTGTATGCGTAAGATTGATATTTTCGTTGTATGCTACGGTCTATGAATTGCTAGGTTCGGAACCTTCTAGATCTCGGAAACACATTGGGAATTGCATACAAACTATCTCGCAAGAGGAACTCACACTAACCAACAGCTTAACCAGTGCCCTCAGTAAAGAATGCAAAGCATTTCATCTCAATACTCTCTCGTGGAGGACCATGTATATGTTCCGGATCCACAAATGCAGAGTGAAGCAGTGTCACGCTAGATGTAGCATCACTGCCTAGCTGCTTGAAGATGAGCGGCTCATCTGGCTGCTGCTCGCTCAGATAATACCAGTCATGCTTGTCGTTGTAAACGGGCAAGCCAAACTCGACTACATGGCCGGAAATAGTTCTGCGATCTGGGACGATGTCTGAAACAGGGTCAACAGATCGCCAATTACACACTGCAAGAGGATCTCTTCGAACTGTTTTGATTGGCCTCCATGCGTTGACAACGACAAAGGGATGGCTAAGAAGCCGCTCAATTTCATCTTCGGTAAGGACATCCTTTAGAACAGTCCGGCAAGATGCACGCGTCATGTCTGAATGAACACCATGCGAAGGAGAATTCGGGGTGCTCATTTGGTTCCCGACTTCGTTACCCTCAAATCTGGTGCGAGTGAGATATACGACGACTTCGGATGCACCGGTTCTGCAAATATGGTCAGAGAAATTGAGTCCATTTTGTCAGCTTATCCTTTGGCGTGGGTGAACCACTTACAGTCGCTTGACCAGCTCTTCAGTAGCGGGCTGAATTATTTGTTTTATCTGAGCGGCGTCATGCCAATCCGTAACCCCCTCAATCCCATGTTTAACGTATTGAAAGCCTTGAACATCCAAGGTAAATTCGTGCTCTTTACCACGAATATCCTTGATTACAACGTCTCTCACATCGTTGATACCCTCGCGTTTGGCAAAACGCCGCTGAGCCTCGGGCATATCGGCATCGATTGGTTTTAATCCTTCACGGCCAGGCGGGATTATATAGTTCAGAGTTGTAGGGACATCACGTCCCTTCCCGACCGAGGATTGGCCATTGGAAATGGATACAGTCATATTGGTGAAGATCAAAGCAACCAAGGCAAAAAGAGGGAGAATTACTTTGATGAAAAAATCTTGGAAGTTTGGACAGATAGATGTCGGATGGAGGATACTTATGCAGTTCTCTTATGCATCAGCGGATAAAGTCAAATGAAAGGGGGCTCGGGTTCGTATTCGGGCACTTTACCAATTCGGGGTACATGTCTTATTCGTATTCGGCTTCGGATTAAGGATCGACAATTGGCACCAGAGATGCGCTTTTGAAGAAATCCACTTGCAAATATGCAGGGTCCACACTCTTTTTCCCCGAAGCGGTTGGTATATTTATATAAAAGACCATGCCAGCCTATTCAGGGTTATCGGCAGAAATGAGATCTTCTGAGATCCTGACCTGAGCCCACAGCCAGCCCAAACACATAAAGATATTGAAACCACATGATTCCATTCGAACTATCCTTCACTGAATATCCTTTCCCAAAACTCAAACAGAAACAAAATTATGATCACGAAAACTATTGCCATCATCGGATGCGGAGGCATGGGCTTATCCATCGCTCGGCGCCTCGGTGCTGGCCGTCGACTATGTATCGCCGACTTCTCCGACGGAGTCCTCTCCGCCGCACAGGAAACCTTGACAGACGACGGTTACACGGTAGAAACATTTCAGGTAGATGTTTCTGACTATGCATCCGTTAGCGGCTTTGCACAGGCGGCTGCATCACAAGGTCCCATCGAAGGAGTCATCCACACAGCCGGTTTGTCACCATCCGCAGGTAGTGCGCAAAAAAATCCTTGAAGTCGACCTCCTCGGCACCGCCAACGCTATTGAGGCATTCTTGGAAGTGGCGCAGTCTGGAACGAGCATGGTCTGCATAGCCAGTATGGCCGGTCACATGGGATCAGGCTTGCCATCGGAGCTCGAGCGTCATCTTGCTACAGCCTCCAGGGAACAATTGCTGGACCATCCCGCTTTGAACATTGATCCCAGCGACCACCATGGACCTGCACGGGCGTATGGTCTTTCGAAACGTGGAAATATACTTCGTGTCCAAGCTGCCGCGAAAATTTGGGGGCGTGTTGGGGGAAGAGTAAATTCTGTTAGCCCTGGAGTAATCTCTACAAGGGCTGGCAGACAGGAGATCAATGGTCCAGCTGGCAAATTTATTGCCATGAGCCCTGTTGGTCGCGTGGGCACACCGCAGGATGTTGTGAATGCCGTGGCATTCTTGGCGAGTTCGGAGTCGTCTTTTATTACGGGCAATGATATACTAGTGGATGGTGGGGTCGTGTCATCATTAAAGTGGGATAGTTTATAGGCCTGAGTATTAGGTACTATCATCGGAGAGGCTTTCCTGTCGGTACCTGTATATTCCAAGTAGGTATGGTTATTATTTAGCCTTATATAACCCTGTCTAATGCGCACCAAACCACCCTGTCCAAACACTGGGTGCTGGCTAGTAAGCAAGGAGTTAAAGGTGGATACTGGCCACACATGAAAGACAGTGATCTTATGGCCGAAGGCTATTCTAAATCTTGTCCCATTGGAAAATCTACATATGAACGGAACGTAGACGTTCTTGGATGGTAATTTGACGAATATAGCTTATATTCAGATATTGGTCTGGGCCCAGTTATGTGTCAAAAGAGTGTATCCATACAACGATGCATCGTGCTCGTAAGATGCTCCAAAGCAATAAAAAGCAGGAAAAAGTTCCAACCACGTTCAATGTAGGTCTCATGTTACTTGATGGTTATATCCAATCGGATACATTTGTACGCATCTAGTCATCGTCTTGACTAGACCTGGACGGTCAGGCAGTTGAGAAGACCCTAGAGGTAATGCATGAGTACGTGTTATCAATAAACCATCTTGCAATTCCACTTACAATTCCATTAGTGGTGCAGCAGGCAGCTTGGTTGTTGCAACTTCCAACAAGCGCTGATAAAATCTTAGCAAGACGGACAGTGAATAAAGTAGTGTGATAACTTACGAACGCAAAGTCCGGGAAGCACGTTCACATTCAAGATGCCGTTAGTCAAGCTAGTGCAGCATGAGTTGGCTTGGGATGTAGTGCACTGTGAGGCATCGCTAGTGCCTGGTGCAGCGCTGGCAAGACCGATAGTCGCGAGGACAACAAGAATCTGAGAGAAGTTCATTGTGGTTGGTTATATCTTTGTCCGATAATAATGTGAGATTGTATAGGATGCAGGCAATTTCTTGGGATGATAGAATGAATACAGTATGGAGTTCGCGGTCTTTGATGGTTTATATATCCCTTTCAACCTTGAATATTGTCCGAATGTAAATATGTCACTTGGCCTGGTATATCAGGTGTTCGTCCTAGTTTTGTCGATGTATTTGCATATTTGAGACATCGTATCAATGTAGTAGTATCATAGACCATCTAGACTGTCAGGGCAGGCGCCATGTGAGGGACAATGCGCAACAAATTAGCTCGGTGCAGCGCATAAGTGAGTTGGGTCTCGCAATGTGTCTTCTCAACTGACCCTTCTTCAACCCCACTGCCGGAGGATTTTGAGATTAGGAGTAGGGTCTAGATTGCTCTGAAAAGTCCTTCATGCAGGATGACCCCCAAAATGCTATTTGCGAATCCTACCCTGTGCTACCATCCGAATCTTAATCTACTGCAGCCGAATATCGACTAGCTCATTCCCCATTATGTTGCGGAGGGACCTAAAGGACAAAGATCTACAACAAGCGTGAATTAAAATGATTAGAATAATATAGGAAATATTCAGCAATGATTAATAACGTAGTAAAGATTCACATTTCATAATGTGGCTGGATACATATATGGCAAGTCTTCATCATTCAGTTCTGCTCCATAAAACCTTTCCTACCGGCCCATAGACAGTTCGTTAATCTCACCAAATACACAACCCCACTATACTCTCCGTGTGAGTCATGTCGAAAAGATTTTGGGGAAAAGCATTATGCGAGAACAAGATAAACAAACTTCGCTGCAGTTCAACCCCACTGTTGAAGAGCGGGGTGCGTCGTACCCCTTGCAGAAGGCCATAAAGGGTTACAACGGGCGATAGGATACGCCCGCTCATGGCGCGGATACTTAATGCCTTATCTCTGAGGCTTGTAATGTTAGCCCGTTTATAGATTTGATTGTTGTTAACCAACGCGCAGGCCGTTGGTTCTGTTCATGTGTGCAGCGCATACAATATACTCCTATACGGATAGGGGATAGCTTACGTTACTACTCTGTGTAAGCATGTCCTTCCTCCTACCTTCTGGTATAATGTCTGACTGACTTTCTCCTTGGGTGGTTCTGATCATTTCCACGTTGGAGTGTCACCTATGAGTCTATGAAGAGTTACTCATAGCCCCTCGCATCTCAACCCTCAAATTTTATTTCTTCAGCATCGTATGACTTCCTTAATCTGGTGGCGTCGGGTACTTTTTCCTTAATAGCATTCCACATTCGCATTCTACCCTTCTTTCAAGCAACAGACAGATGTAACTATCAGCATCATGCAAGGGATACTCGAGCTTTGCATAGCGGGTGAGAATGTGCCGTACAATCATGTTGTACCGCTTACGTACTAGAGCCCTGACATTCTTTTGACACAAATGATTCCTAAATCGCTGCGTTAGGACGAAATGGACCTTGCCCAAGAGGCGTTCCCAAATATATGACCGAACCGATCTGCAGCATTCAAATTATTTCTGAAGTGAGAATATCCCAACCATATTGCCACCACCCTTACTAAAAGCGGCCTTTGGTATTTCATGTAGATACTGACTTGCAGAAGCCCATGATACATCCTCTAGGAGAAGCGCTGGGTGTCTTGCGGGAGGACCCTTCAAAAGAAAAGATCTACAAAGATCTAAAAAGTAAGCAGTGAAAAGGGATTCCCCAGATGTGAGATAAGCATCGGGCAGGGATATCTCATAATGCACTAATATAAATTCAGGAAGAACAATTGTGGCTGTGGCAAAGCTAGGACGGGCTGATCATCTTCTGCCGATCAGGATGAGTTGGCACGGAGAACGGAAGTTCGGACACGGATACGGAGTAGGACCCAGCTAAAAGGCCGATCGTGCGGCGGCGGTACAGAAGGTCAAGCCCGCCCTGGTGGAGAACATGCATGGTGAGGATGCGCTGGACCGTGGGGGCCAGAACCTTTTTTTTTTCTATGCTCGGTTTCGGTTTCCTTGCCCTTTATAGCGTTCTCTTCGCAATTATGCTCCTTTCTTTCGTTTTTTATCTTTTCTTACCTTTCCTTTTTTCTTTTCCCCCGGGTAATATTTTTTTTCCAATTTACCTCTCAAAGGGGAATTGGTGATCTTATATTGTTTCATTAGCCTGAAGAGGAAGAGGTACCGAGGAATTTGGAGAGAAGGATTATGGAGGATTGGAGAAGTAAAGGGTCTAGGGAAGACGCCTTGCATGAACTAATTATCCGGTTAGTGGTAGGGTGTAAGCACTAATGTGGAGGAGTTGTAGAGGGTGGTCAATGAGGTATTAGGTATGATACCGCGGATTTAGAAGGATCCTAGTGAATAAGGGGCTTATATGCAAATAAATTCGTGGTGCTATGACTTTGTAGGTTCCTAGAGAGAGCATTGCATCCAGTGGCTTGGGGATTGAGATGGATATCTTGTTCTATTGTACATGTCTATGGGATGGTGGGGAAGGCTTTTGATATTTTGATCCTTCCGTTTAGGTATGGGCGTATCCCGTATTTATCCCTTCCTGGCGTGATGATATTTTACTGCCTATGTAGCAGTGGGATAATGAGCCTAGACAGGCTCTTTCAAAGCTCTGTCGAAACTTGGTGCATGTTGTGCGATAGAGGGAGGGGTTTGGGTTCCAGTGCTTTGTAGCGCTGGAATGAAGGCACCCAGTGCCTGTCTCGGTTGGTCTTGGGAAAGACGAGGGACATGATGACGTCCAGATGGTTGCATAGATGACTGAACCGCGCATGACTGTGTCCGTTAATAAAATTGACACGCGGCTTTGCTGCCGATCAGGCCACCCATAGTGGATCTCCGAAGGTGTGATAGATATGCTGCTAATGGCGGGAGAGCGTAAACTCATTCCGGCTGAGCAGCCTTACTGAAACACGAGGTAGCGTTTGCCTTTTTTCACTTGTCCCTGACCACCCACGACCAGACGACCGACGTTCTCGGTCTCCTCTGCATCGATATCCTCCCCTATGATTCCGTCCGTACGGTCCAGAATCGCAGTATCTTCCGTCCTAAAGCCACTCATGTTAGTCGCAGAATCCCACTAACCAGAAAGTAACTCACTTTGCGTTCCCAAGCAGCGGCATCTGAGCTCTCACATCCTTCCGCTCCGCAAGTTGCACCCCGATTCTCAGCATCGCAAATGCATCAAAGGACTCCGTCCAGGTGGGATGCAATCCCGCGTAGAAGGCCATGATCACCAATCCGACAAGATGCAGGCCTATTATGGTCGATAGAAATGCGATCGCCCATGGTCGTATCGCGAAGATCTCGACAGAGGTTCCGTCATCCTTGAAGAGGATACGGCGGTAGGCCTGCTCAGTTGAGGCGCGGCCCAGGTTGGCCTTGTTGGCAAAGAAGGTGCCCTGGGTAAAGACTGACGTTGTCTGGGGGTAGTCGTAGTTTGCAAAGAGCTGACCAAGCCAGGCAGCCAGGTCGTTGAAGTATGTGGAGTTGGTGTCTGATGCACAGGGCTTGAGGGTTGCGTATCGCCAGGAGGTAGTATCCTCAGTGTTAGTGTTTGACAGGTAAGTGAACGGAATGGGCTCGGAGCACTCGTCCAACGACAAGGAAGTGATGTTCGGTAGAGTCGGTGTCGAGTTAGCACGATTGGCGAAGAACGTGGACGGGCCGAAGAGGGCCTTGGTGGCTGTGAGCAAAGGCCCAAGAGCTGGCGAGCTGACAGGAGTGGGGTCGGGATAACCATATCTAAGCCAAGTGAGAAGATTATCACAACGAAACTGGGAAGCGCTACTGCCACACCAGCCAGGCTTTCCCCACCCTAGGCTTTGCTCAGGCCGCACCCTGCCACTTGAAGAGAAGAACCTTGTTTCCTAAAGTAGGTGACAGGGTATGGCATAAACGAAGCCTGGTATGGAGGCAGCCTGGCTGGTGTTGCGGTAGCGCCTCTCATAAAGATAACAGTGAGCCCTTACCCTAGAACATGTGAGTTATCTAAGGCTCGCACATCCATACTCTCCTCCTGGTCAACGATGACATTCTCTGGATCAAAACTAGTTGCAAGATCGAACGTCTCCAACAAGGGACCCGTCTGGTAGTTGTTCATGTAGTTAGGGAGCATGAAATACCCCGCGGTCGTATTCGCACGAATGCGCTGTGTCCAACTCGCTATCCGGGACCCGTTGGTGAGGAAGCTCATGGCGACTGAATTGAAGTGAATGTACGCTTCCTCGGCAATGTCCTGGCGGTTCCGGGTGAGGTTCCATGGGAAATTCTGCGAATCTCCCAGCGCGCACACCTTTACCTCCATCATGCCATCTGCAGAGCTCGGGACATTGTAGGAAGCATCCAGACTCGACAGGTTCGTAAGCGTCGACGCGGAGAAAGACCCTGGTCCACCGCAGCTGTCGGGATAGCTCTCTTCCGCTACCTCTTCCGAGGCAACGGACGTATTGAATCGAAGCGCATGATCGCTTATTATTCCCGTTGTGGCCGAGTTGACGGGGATGGAGACAAATGAACTGTTACCGCGGAGAGGATAGAACTGTGTAGCAATTCCGCCTTGGTTCGAGTTACTCACGCAAGAATATGCCCAGCTCATAGATGAATTGCAGACTGAATCGGGTGTCCGCCAGATATTTGGCTGAGAGTCGTACTGAGTAGCGTAGTTGATTAATGACCTAGTATCTCCAACCGTTTCGATGGACTTCACTTGAGACAATCCGGTGATGTCGGCGTCAGAAACCAGCGGAGTGACCTTGGAGGGTAGACTCTCGACCAAAATGGTCACCTCTGACACGAGCAACTGCTGCAACGGCCAATTTAGACCACCTATATGAGTTGGTCAGCAGCCTCTACACATCATCATTACCTCCCTTCCTTACCTAAAGCGCAGACGAGGAATGCATAATACAGGAGCGGACTGCCCAATCGCCGCCGACCCCCAGCAGAGAACAGTCGGGCAAGGATGAAGGGATTCCACCATCCTCGATCAGCTACCGCTAGCAATTTCCGGAGGCTGAATGCCCGTTTATTTCCAGCGGCCTGGCCATACACTATGGCGGTATGGGCGGCAATGAATGAAGAGAACGGGATGGTCAGCACCGCCATGACTGAGTTAACGACCCGGGCGGCCAATCTCCAGCGGCGTGTAGCAGCGATGACGGCTGCGGTGAGAGTTACTTTTGTCGCTTCTCTCTGGCTGCAGGAAAATGTCGCAGTCGCGTCAGAGTCGATGACACCCAGGACCGTCTGGGACGCGCAGGTTAGCTGTCGCGCGCTTTCCCATGTTGGCGTTGAATGGTGGTAGAGGAGAGGACGGTGGGTAAGGATGCACGTCACGGTCCATGAGAAGATGAGGAGGGAACAGTAAATTAAGACAATGGGGATTAGATGCTTCAAGCTGCGGGATAAGGAACGAGACGTTCTGTGCGAATAATCGGCTGACTTATCGTCATCGTTTAGTGTATGAAATGGAATATATTCCCCTCGTAGAGCAGTGTCACCCGACCCCATTTTGTAAAGTGACTGGCAGAGTCAACTACATAGGAGAAAAAAGTGAGATGGGGGATGAGCATGCAGGGTCTGTCTATTCTTATTTACTAGGGCCACCATGCTCACTGCCAGATCGAGTCTGGTGCATTGGAGCATAAACTTTGGCCAGGATGCGCGGTTGAGCCTCGCTCAGCCGGGTGGGTCACTCAGGGTCGGCTTGGCGAGGCTGTGGCTTAGCATATCTTAGCCTGACACCCTCGGAATTGCCGACGGATGTGACAAGTAGCGAGAACAGGCTGGAAGTGGAAAGGCCATTTGGTGCTATCTCCCCTTCCTATTTATCACTGGTAAACACTATAATAACCTTCCACCATCAGTAGATACACTTATGACGCATGCCTCCTTCCTAACTTTCTCACCTATCGCAGTCTGTGGAGTAGCGAAGATATCTCAGTCCTAGCCTACCCTCAGGATATCAACGGAATATACAATAGAGTTATTTGTTGAGAATGTACTCTTCGGGTAGGCGACCACAAGGAAACAGCTTAATTTGTGCATATGTATCTTAAAGTGCTATTTCCGGATATAGAAATCTGGCGCGGTTTCGAAATTGCGAGCCCTAGGCAATAGACCACGTGCAGGGACCATGAATTGTGTTTCCGCCTACGTAGATCCAGGAACTGTCACACCCACACTTTTTCCAGTCCCACCTTCTTCATACTTCCAAACTTCACCTTCAATATGCCCATAATAGACTGGATTTTTCGTCTGTTCCCACGATACTCACACGAAAAGCGGCTTTCCAACCTGGTAGTGCTACCTCGCGAACTATTACTCCACATCGGTAAACTCCTGACAACCGCTGACATTATCTGCCTCAGCCTATGCAGCCGAACACTTAATCTTTTCGCAACAAGCTTTTACGACTTCAAGCCACCCCAAGACAAGCCCTTAACACTTTCAGTCCTCACAAGACTGACCCGAGACCTCCCAAAAATGTTCTGCTGCCACTACTGCGCCAAGTTGCATCGTATCACTGACGTCCTCCATCCCGCACGCTCCATGGGTTTCCGTCATCGGTGCTCGGACCTGGGAGTTTGGCATAGAAAGTGTCCACAGCCGTCGATTAGATGGCTGATAGCTGTCCACTGTATGACCACCCTATATGACTTCCGTCACTGCCACCTGGTGGCTGTCCTACAAAATTACCATTCCGGCGGCCGATACGGGATCAACGCGGAGTCCTTGGCTTTCACCGAGGTGGTTGATTACCCTCAACAACCAGCAAGAACGACTTTATTATCAGTGGAAGGACGCGTCTGTACACCGGCTGGAGCTCGCCAAAGACCATCGCTAGTCCTGCAAATACAACAGTGGGTTCTCGTCCATGATCTACAGGTCTTCTCCGACAGGGGTCTCGATGTTGCTCTTTCAGTACTCCACAACTTCTTTATTTGCAACTGGTTGAGAGTGGGCCACGGGAGTATTCAAGATAAGATTCGACCTGCAAATCGGCAACGAAACATTTGCTGGAAGGAGGCACCACTCACAGAGATTATGCGATGCTTGCATTGTGGTGTGGAGTTTCAGATCGTCCTCCGAGACTGTGGGGAGGATGGGACAGCAGTGGCAATTACTAAATGGTTAGACCTTGGAGCCGGGACAGATATTGAAGATCCGAAATGGAAAAAGGCTAAACACGATAGAATCTATATACGATCGTGTCGAAGCTACGGCGAGCATAGGGGAGGTCCGTCGACTATTCCGTGAAAGCTCTGATCAAGAGTGACCCTACGCCGCGAAACAGGTCATACTTGATGAGAAGACGATACCGTTGGGCAATGTGGCGCTACTCGGAATCTATGTACTATCTATTCCATCGCTAGCTCTAAATCTATGTTAGCCAAGTACCCAGGCTAAATCGCTTTGTCATGTTAAAAGACTCAATGCTTCTTTTCTAATCTCTTCTCTGGTCCCATGAAAGATCCCCAAGTTGGGAAAGAACTTCGTTCCTGCCCAGAATGGAAACCACCCACAGCGAAGACCGACGACCATCTTCCTGAAGCCTTCCAGGTTCTTCTAAGCTTTCCTCTTCTTTCTTCACGGAACTCATTTGTTAACGTTCTAAGCTAATACTTCTGTACGTGTCCAAGCTTTCAACATCATGGGTTCTGTAGATATCATCTTTATATTGGGAACGCTGGGTACTTGGGTTGGGGCGTTCCGTCCTGACCTAGAAATCCTAGTGCGTTACATTGTTCGGCAATTCACTCCCACTTCACGCTCGTCCCAAGAGTGCATCGTCACGGCCGTCGAGTGTATTGACAACGATCAACGCTCCGAGCTGGACCTTTGCCGGGAGTTGTTGCTCCTGCAACAGCAGGAGATCAGTGGGTTGAAGGCACAAATTGACGATGTGTGTCGGTTGTAGGAGGCGATGCGTACCGACCTCAGCGAGCTGAAGACCAGACAGTTTCCCACCAGGACGTAAGGGCCTGGTAGTTGTTCCATACCTATGAAGACAACGAAAGATGAAACGTGAACAGAAAAAGTAAATCCCCGGCAAGGGTTGCGATCGGGACATGGACTTGAAGCTCCCTCGTGGATATTCACCTTCAAGTTCAATATAAGAATCGTACATCTATATAGTATAACAGATGTATCTAGAAGGCGTCATGGTTTACGAAGATTGTATGTAAACATGTCGTCTAGATGAAAATCAATTCTTTGAGTGTGTGTGGCAACCTGGCGTCCTTTGAGCGACTGAGGATTTCAAGGCCCGACCGAATACGCCCGTGAGTTCTTTGGCTCGAGAAGTTGTGACGACTATGGTGTAAAAAGTGTACATTTGACAGGAGGCCGTGAGTATAGCCTTCAAGGCATCCTGCAGCTTGTGCTCATCCCAATAAGCTCTACCTTAGCCCTCTTATCTCCATCACCATGCGCGGCATCGTGGATCACCAATCCCCATTGTGCCTCCACAAGCACCCTGTGCACCTGCGATGCGTGTTCGGTGCGGCGAAGTCAGCACCATGTTCACGGTGTAATCTCTATGTTTGAGGATATCCGTCATGTTGTCTTGCGAGGTGGAGAGGTTGAATAGGGTAGGGAGGAGGAATGAGACGATTTCCGCTAACCAGGATATCAGTATGCATGTGAATGAGTTGGATATAACACGTACCTAAGTTCCTATCTGCAGCAGTAAACTGCAGTAGATTTGAGCTACTTTCACCTTCCTTATGCGGTCTGATTTGGATTGGAGCAGCGTGTTGCTAGGGGGGTGGAAAGTTGGTTTGTGCGGATGAGGAGTCGCTAAGACGGTCGATATAGAATGGGTTGTTGACCGTATTGAGGTGGTGTGGGTTGACTAAGGGTGTCAACTCCACTATTACCAGATAAGCTTCAGATAAGGTTACGGAGGTCGCCACACATATCTATTCGAGGTATCTATCTATCCTCAAAATAGTATATAAAATGGCATGCTATCGTATCGATTAGGCGAGCGTTATTTGTCGACTTCTTCGGCACAGCGCACGTATTTCTCGCGTTGTGAAGGACTTACCAACAGTGGACTAGTGTACTATTTTTCACTAAATTGGTACTTATCAACATCCACCAGTCCAAATCTTCATCTGAAGAATTCTACAATGTCATATAGTAGAGCTCGACGCGTTCAGCATGAGTATTGTTGTATATACACGGCCTACATTTGTAAAGTCGTAAGACTGAATAAAAGCCGTTCGTTCTCCCGCTGTGTTTGTTTTTTTTTCCTTTTCTCTATCCTATACTTTCTCTACATCGCTGTTTCCATAGATAGAGGTTTCTCCTGAAGTTACAGATCGCAGACGATCGATATGGATGATAAAGTGACTTCTAGTTGGATAACCGCTGGTGCTCGGTCCTCACTATACCACACGAACCAGGACTGAGGGCTTATTATCGCTGGGAGCTATCGCTATGTACTTGGTCTGACAATGCTAAACTGTCATGATAATAATGTGTCGAGTAACGCAGGCTGGATACTGATAGAACCTCCCTAAGCCACTGGATAGTAGACAATAGTATCCAGTGTGCATGAAGTTGGCGATATGTTTCCATCTCATTCGTAGGTTTTTAGATCCATAAAACGCAGGGATACCCGATAGTGATGATAATAGAATTAGAATATGCAGATTAACGGGAAGGCAGAGCTCGGCTGCCAGCCCCGCCTCTTCCCCCCTCAATGCCCGACGTGGACAACATCGGCTCATCTTATGCGAATAAAAGCCTCCCTCATGCCACCTGAGTAAAAAGTAGAATCCCTTAATTCTGTAAATTCCACGGTCAAGCTGATCTGATTCCAATCGAGAAAATGACATTCGAAATATACATTCCCTCAACCCTGACCTTCCAGGACTACATCGCCGTCTGCCAATGTGCGCGCACATTTGCTGATGGGTACGATCGGAAGGTGAACACTGATCTTTATACGGCCTTCATCCTAGTAATCGCAATAGCATAGTAATAACCCTAAACTAATATTCATCGAACCTAGGACAAAACCCGCCTCCGCGCCGCCCTCGCCCCCTCCGTGATAGTCGACTACAACAAAGTCCTTCCCCACGTCACCCGCGAGACCTACGAAGCAGACCACTTCGTCGAGACATGGCTGAACCCAACCAACCTTGGGAACAAGGCTCTGGCGACGCAGCATCTCCTCGGAGCACCATACTTCAAGTTCGCATCGGAGGAAAAGATTGTCGTACAGTGGCAGCAACTAGCGAGCCATGGGCGGTGGGTTGACGGACAGGAAGAGACGCACCCGGTTAAGCGCAAGATTGACGAGACGTCGGATGGGAGAAGCTGGATGCAGCAGACTTATGTAAAGGTGGATGGGCAGTGGCGGATTCAGGTGCTTGAGCCGGAGGTTTTGTACCACACGGGGGATTTTCAGAGGATTAGACGGCCAGATGAGAAGGGTGAGGGGAAGGTTTAGGTTTGAGGTGGAGGGTGTTGGGGTCTGGGATGGTCGTGGTCGTGGTCGCTGTTATGGCGATGTGCTGTTATTGGGGGGTGATAGAGTATACAGCTCGCTGGAATTTAGGGCTTACTTATTTTCTACTGGTTAAGCTACTTGATCTCTTTGACGACGCTGTATGTGACTGATACTGTCGGAGGGATCAGACAGTGTCGGGTTGTGGGGATCTCGGGATGTGGGCTGTCGGATACACTTTGCACAAGAAACCCTAACGGCAAACTTGTATGCTGAAGAAGGCTATCGTTGCGAAAGTGGACTTCGTCTCGATAATGATACAAAGTTATTCTCAATTCCTTTTAAGAAAATGTAGCAAAGAATCCCTATGGTTAACAACAGTTTATGTTGAGAGTTTGCCAATGCTAAACGTCCCCAGTTCTATGGAACCCCTGAGCCAGGGATGCGTCACACGATCTAACAGCCCACATCGCATACCAATCCTCTGAGTTGTTGCAGCCCCCTGAATGCTGCGTATAGACTTCACGAGCAAGGTTCAATGAGAGAAAACAATAGCTCGGTAGAAAATCGATCGCTTGTGTCTCTGCCAGGCCGGCCCACGTCTGCACGATTTCGGCAGCCACCTGGCGGGCACGATGGACGAGACTTTCAGAATATGTCGGCGTCCGTGCCATCTTGCCATTGTAGAGGGCCAGTAGATATGTCAGATATAGTATGTATAGTGCGCCACGATGGACACACAGCGTAAACTCTTTAGATTGTCGTGAATGCTCGATCAAGGTCCATTGAGCTGAGTAGCGAACAGAGGCAGGTAGACTTTCCAGCCACCGTTTGAGTCTTGATTCGACGCTCGTGACTAGTGCTTGGTCGAGGTGCTGCATTTTCCATAGCAGAATAGCTGGCTTCATACCATCGTCCAGTGCATCACGCGTTTGACGGTCCAGGTCGACTGTGTAGAGAAGGCGGTACATGCAGCGGATAAGTTTCGACCGTTCGATAAGGATACCGCATAGTTGGCGTGGTATGGTGGCTCTGAAATGCTCTCGCTTGCTGGACCTTCACTTGTTGGACAAAGGTAGCGTTGATTATGGCTCGATCAAATACTGAAAACACGTCGGGAACAAACTGACAATTGAGACTAGGTGGTCGTTTTATTTGGAATGGAGCATCCAGAGCCAGGGAAATTGTGAGATCAGCGGTGTATAACGACCATACTAGTCGCTCACGAAGCGAAGATGAGATCGTGCAAAGGTACTCTGTGTTTTGGTTGACTGGCTCATCTGTTGGGTCCAGTAAGCCTGCGCCGATCGCGACAGAGAGAGCATGGCGAATCCAATATCGGGATTCTGAAAGACTAGCCTCGGACAGGTTTTCACGGATACTCAGCAAGATGAGTGTTTGGGTCATGACAATCGGATTGCGCTCGACCGAGAGATTGTATAACATCTGCGCGCGTCAATGATGTTACTTGAGAGGAGAATTTCTGGGGATGCATGCATGCACTCACTCTCGCCCTTTCGCGTATAACCCTCCCAATAGTATCTCGACTTGGGTGACCCGCTGCCTGTAGTTCCAGGGAATCCACGTATGAGCTCCCCGCATAGAGGACGGCTTGATACAGAAGTGGTTGAGGGAATTGACGGTCATCACTTTCTAGCAGCCTTTGAAAGATATTTGGTATCTCTAGAACAGGGACTAGGGGATGTACCCATCGCAGATATGACTGCAGAAGAAGGCCGCGTAAATCCTCGCTTGGGAGTAGTAGTGTCCCACTGGACTGAAGTTCTTCTCGATCCTTAAAGGCGATGGAAGTGAAAGCGCAGGCTTGAAACTCGCGACACGAGAGAGATTGAAGCATTTCAAATCCTATACCGATAGGAAAAGCCGGCGTGGGGTCCAGATTCAATGGTGAGGAAATGGGCGCGAAACCCGCCGTGCGCTGATGTTTATTTCTCTAAGTTGAGTTGGTGCGGTGGCATTTATACTTGCAGTAGGGAGAAATGGAAATCCACAAGACGGGGAATAGCGCAGCCACCTTATCTTTGCCACGTCGCAGGATTTAGTGCTTACTGTAAGCGTCTCATGCTCAGTATATTCTTACAGGTGGACCCCTGGTGTGGTGGATCATTCCTGGTCTTCGATGCTGATACCTAGGAAACCCTGGGAATTAGAGCCGCGGGATGAGCCGCGGGATGTGTTTCGGACGGACAGCAGGCTAAATTGCCCCATCAATCAGATGCTCCGGTTAGATACAATCCCCGCTAAGACAACGCCTATAATCTCCCTCTGTTTTGATCCACAGTCCCACCAGCCCAATGAGATCATCCCTCGGCCCTCAGAATGTGGCTATGTATAGCAGTATTTGACGCGATTTCATACTATCTTCTTATTGCACCATATAGATCATGATCGTGACATACTTGGCTATCATACACTTCCGTCGTTGGAGGCATAACAAGACAGGCAGTGATAACGTGAAACAAATCATACAATGGTAATCATTGTTTGTATTTGTAAGTCCAATCAACAGACATGTCTTAAATAAATAGAACCCTCGGTGTGCTACTTCGGGACTCATTTGTGCGACCTTCTCCGGGCCCGCACATAGAGATTGCTTGGCTTGATGGTTTGGAACATGGAATCATATTCGATCGGATCATTGCCTTCTCTAAAAAATTCATACCGATACACGAGCATGGCGATGAAGACTTTCACCTCGCGAGCAACGAAGTTTGTCGCCACGCACATGCGAGGTCCCATCGCAAATGGGACATAGGCTCCGCGGTGTCGATTCTTGACTCTCTCGGTATCCCATCTATCTGTGGAAAATTGAGTCGGATTGTCCCATATGGCCGGATTGTTGTGAAGATGATGGATTTCTGAGATAACCACGCCGTCTTTAGGAACTCGATACCCTCCGGGAAGAATAACATCTTTGCGTGCCGTTCTAGCGGGTTGGAAAGATGTAGTATGACGTCGCTGGGTTTCCTTGACGAACTTATCCAGATAGGATAGGTTTCCTATAAATTCGCCAGTCATTTCCGAGGTCTCCGTCATGTTATTGTCGATTAGCTCTTGCAAGAGCTTTTCCTGGACCCCTGAATACGTTACCAGACCGTAGATCAGCCAGGAAAGTAGAGAACTCGTCGTTACAAATCCTACCGTCAGTGCCACAATGAGCGCTGGGTTTCGGCTTTCATCGCTCAACTTGTTGCCTTTGCTATCTCTAGCACGGACAAGGTAGTCTGTGGGAGCTTATTAGACAGATAGTATGCAGTTCTAGCAAAGCTTAAATACCTGCTAAACTCTGAGTTTTCAAGCCCGCCTCCTGGATGGAGACATGCCCTTCCCCAATGGGAGCCTTCTTTACAGACCCCTCGACCAGAGACCCCACTAAATGCCACGTATCTCGCAGCCGTTTTGGATCACCGGAAGGTAACCATGTATACCAATCTCCCCATGATGTGACTTTATTGTTCAACCCTAAAAGCTTGACAATAGCCTTAGGGATATCATGAATGGGAGAATCGACCCTTTCAAAGTGCCTAAAATCAGCCCCAATGATAAGCTCCCCCACAAGCTGCGACGATAGTTTCAGCATGAAGCTATACGCATTCCATGCTTTGTTCGCCTGATCCATCTCGTCGGATATCGGAAAGGAATGCCGTACAACCTCTTCCATGCGAGGGGTATAGGCTGCGATTGCCTTAGGACTAAATGCGGGTACAATGAACTTATGTCCCTCTTTCCATTCCTTGGTGGCCGTGTTGGTGAGAAAGATTCCTGCGTGCGCGCTTTTCACCCCGTATAAAGGATGCGCGTGATTGATGTCTTTAGTGAAGAACTCAGTTTCGGCGAACGCATGGGCAGTTAGGACTGGGTCATTAGTGTGGTAAACTACCCGACCCATGACTGTTGTCTGGAAGATCGGCCCGTAAAGTTCGAAAAGACGTTGATGATTGCCAATATGGTCGGGGTATACCTCACAGTGACTCCCGAGTAGAGAAAGCCCCTTGGGTCCCGGAACATCATGGACTGTTTCGCCATCCACTAATATACCTATTGGCTGATTTACTGCGAGAATGTCTTCCGTGGAGCTAAGGTCCTCCCCATCGAGATGAAACGATATCCCTTGAGAAAGCTTGATTAGTGACATCAATTACTGTCTTGGGGCGCCGTCTCATTTGCATACCCTTTGGCTCTATAATTGCGAATTGGGATGCGACCTTCTCCCGTATGGCATGTATGTCAAGCTTGCTTCCCACTTCGATCATGCATACAGCCGAGTCGTATTGTCCGCGGAGATAGAATTGCTTTTCTGCCATTGCGTGGTTATCAAAGACTGGGGATTCGGGGAGTCCGGCAATCTATGATTTGGACTGCCATCAAATACTATTCGTCGCAGCCATTCTGTATATATGTATGCAATATCGGTCAATTCCCGATGATGCTCCATCGCTTATCTTGGACCCGGAGCGGATTATGAGAACACATGAATTGTGTGGCAGAATCGGCTAAAGTGGCGGCATTCATCTATTCAGATTACTGTAGAAGCCATGTTGATAAGCAAAAGATGAATGTCTTGGACTGTAGACTCGGGATTGTACGGGTCGAATCGTAGCTGACATGTGGAGGGCGAAGGATCAGATCGCACAATCTGACCTTCCTTAGCAGATGACACCAAGCCGCGATATGGTCAGATTAATGGAGGGAATGGAATCCTTTGGCTCTAGTACTTACAATCGAGGAGCGTCAGACTAACAAAGGCCATTCGAAACCAAAGATACCAGTTCGGCTTTCGATACTAACCATGTCTGAAATCTGCCACAGTGTAACTCCTTCCTTTGAAAAGATTGGAACATAGCTATACTCGACAGGCTCTATAACCATAGGTTATGGGTGAGCTGTTGAATAACTCTCTGAAGAAGGCATGGGAAATTCTCGTATAAAGCCCTTGGGCTTGCAAGGAAGGGACCCTTAGTGACCGGGGCGAAGGATCCTTACTAGCTTCAGCTACTGCATGCAAGCTGGCACCACAGGCTTGGTTATATTAACTCGGTTCACATATACGGCAGTTGTACTGTATCACACAGATCAACAATCATGTAGACTCGAGAGGGGACAAGGGGCAAATAGGACCAGAACATATTATAATCTGCTCTCGTCACTTGCATTGTATAACGTCTACAATTTGTCAACCTGCAATATATGACAGGCATTCTATATCTACCAGATTCAACATGCAATCCTATTCATCCGCCGAAGTAAAGGAGCAGGGCGCAGTAAAATCACTAATCATCATACATGGAAAAGGTAAGCGTAAACATCTGTCTCCATTCCCCCATTCCACAGGAACCTTTCGAGCAAATAGAATACTAAGATAATCAATTTGCAAATATGCAGTCTACGATGTGAGCAGCTACTTAGATGAGCATCCCGGAGGGAAAGACCTTCTGCTGGATGTAATTGGCACCGATGCGACAGAGCATTTCGTTCAGGCGGGGCATTCCGACGAGGCACAAGATACCCTCTCTAGTCTCGCAGTTGGCAGAGTCAAAGATTACCAACACAGAAATGATCAAGAGACAAAGAGTGCTCTATTCCAAATGGACAACAATGCCGCAGCAACACCCTCTCAGGTATCGTCGCGCCTTGCAATGGCCGTCTCTGGTATGGCCTTCTTGGCCTTGTGCCTGCGGCTCGTGATTCGTCATGCCAATATCGGCAGTACTTGGATTGATATCCCACTAGTGGGGATACCACTATTTACTCTCAACGTGCCGCCTACATTGTTGGTTTTCTCCGTTATTGCTTAGATGGTTTCTCTTGGGGCCACTACCTACTGTGTGTCGAGAGTAATCTATGTCGAATTTGGGTACGGGAAATATCCAGAAGTGATCCCCTCGAGTCGGAGGTTCTAGTCGGGAATGATGCATGAATCTTGATTGGTATTGGGCTACAGATAGACAACTAGGCAATGGATTTAAGCTTTTTAAAACGCTTCGTCTCAGTCTTGGATCTTCGTAGAGATTCCTTCAGCGTGTAAATGCGGGAGGGCTTGGAAGCTCGCTGGAAGAGATGTAATAGGAAATCGATCGTATCCTTAGATAGATAAATAATAAACAGTCAATAATTCTTGTGGTGACCAGCAATTTGCATTCGGATGATCTCAAGAGCTTCGACTAGTGGGTTTCACGGTTTGCGGTGATCTGTCAAGTGGAGAGGGTGCTAACAGGAGACGGTCTGAGCACTTGCCGATCCACTTGCCGGTCCGCCGGCCGATCCTCAGATCGGAGGCCCTGATTATCAAGCAGTGATCGGTAACCGGGCACCTGCTTTACTGGGCGGCTCCAAAATAGGTCACGCATACATTCGATATTTCACTAACTATATACACTTTCCGTCAGCGCTGACGCTGTCTGCTCCTAGAATTAGGAATTCTAGATACTTTATAATCGCGTAATATGTGTGCTCTTCTTCCTCTAGACACTCTCCAGTTTATCAAACTGGCGGCTGTAACAACTACACCACAGTAACTTCGGTCTTTTCCTCCTTTTCCAGCCCTGTGGATCTGCCTTCTTCAATTTCAAAATGGAAAAAGGCCCTGATGACGAAGATCGTGGCCGCGAAACAATAATTCTCGGGCCCCAGCCGGTTGACTCCCCATTGTCCGATGCATCCCCAGCCCCTCTGGCATATACCTATCCGGAAGGAGGACGCAGAGCTTGGTTAGCAGTTGCGGGTGCCTGGTGTTGCAACTTTTGTTCCTTTGGCTGGACTAGCAGCATTGGCGTTTTCCAAGCCTATCATTCAGAGCACCAGCTCTCCTCATATTCATCTTCTGCGGTGTCTTGGATTCCTTCAGCTAATCTTTTTATGTTGATTGTCCTCGCTCCTGTGTTTGGAAAGATATTCGACAACTATGGGCCCCGTTACGCTGTGATATTAGGCGCCTGCGCTCACATTCTGGGCCTGGTGTTCCTAAGCTTGAGCACGGAATATTACCAAATGTTCCTCTCACAGAGTATTCTATCCGGAATTGGTGCCTGCTCGCTATTTTATTCTGGAATGAACGCAGTTAGTACGTACTTCAAACGAAGAAAGGCTCTCGCTATTGGTATTGTGGCTAGCGGCTCATCGCTGGGCGGCGTTATCCTACCGTATGTTCTTTTTGCTACACGTACCGCAAATTCCTTACTCATTGAGAGTTGTCAATCGCTAATACTGGTATTCTGCAGAACCATGTTCGACTACCTGATAGCCGATGGAGTGAGCTTCGGTTGGACAATTCGTGCTATCGCATTGACGTTTCTTATCCTCCTCTTGTTCGCTAGCATCGCCACCACCTCGAATCTCAAGCATCAGCCGACGCCAGTGTCTTTGCGGTCCTTCGTGCGCCCGTTTAGGGAGGTCAAATTCGTCCTGTTGGCATTAGCTGCCTAATTCACTTTCTGGGGTGTATTCATTCCCATCAACTACATCGTCGTCTATGCGGAGAGTCTGGGAATGTCATTAGTCTTCTCAAACTACCAGCTTATCGCACTAAATGCCGCGAGGTATATAACGAATCCCCCCCTGGGCTTGTAAACGGAAACGCTAATAACAGTGAACAGCGTTCTGGCTCGTGTCGGATGTGGTTTCATCGGAGACCGATATGGCTGCTTCAACACGATCATCGTCAACGTCGCAATTGTCATTGTTTCAATATTCGTGCTTTGGTTTATTGATACCCTTGGAACGACTATGGCATTCAGTATCGTATTTGGATGGGGGTCTGGCTCTTTTATCTCTTTACTTCCTGCCTGTATTGCGAAGATTTCAGACATCCGGGAGATAGGTGTCCGAGTGGGCATGATCTACTTCGTTTCGGCCTTTGCCTGTCTAACAGGTAACCCAATTGGTGGTGCTTTGATTCAAGGAACCAACTATCGGTGGATGCAAGTCTTTGCGGTACTCGTGATCTTCGTGGGCATTGCATTCTTCGTTGCTCGGCGAATGGCACAAAGTCGTACGTTGATGAAGGTTGTGTGAGCAATCATGATTCGGTACTATTTGGGAGAATAGGATCACAGCAGTTACACTGCAAGGCAGGAAAATGGGGGAGAAAGGGGATTATAGACGGCATAGAATGTATGCCAGGTAGTAGGTACCTCTATGTAATATAGTACTTGCTGACATATAGTTACTAAGACATCATTAGTGATTTCTTTCCATTTCGCACAAGGGTCAGCTATGTTGAGGCGCGTGATTACTAGCAAAGCAACGAAACAGCGAAAGCAAGCAAACGAACGCGCAAAAAATGCAGCAAAAGTGTGAGTTGAATTAGTAGCTATCTAGGTGATCTAGTAAACAAAGCGAGAGGTCGTTTGTGGGCGGCCTGAGCGCCTGGCACGTGACTTCGCCTACTCCAGCAGATGCCTCGACAAGCTATAACAATCCGAGGCATACCAAACAACTAATAACCAACGATCTATCACTTTTATATGCCTCAAAGCGACCCTGAGAGCCCCTTCCCCTCTGGGTATATACTATATTTTCCTTGTCATAAGTAGTCAAGTAACCCACCTGTACTCGATTTCAAAGTAGGCCAAAATCCGGAACGGAACGGCCGGCATCACTATCCGAAAGATTGAGTAAGGCTATTATGATTCCGCACTAGATTTTCACAGGCATTCGGTATTCTCTCTGGTTTACAAAACGAGTGAGTTCTAGATTCATAATGGCAAGCTTCTAAACAGGTGGAATGATGTAACCTTGCTCCCTTGTGACCAATTATCACGGTTACTCGGCTGTAGCACCGAGTCCGGTAGCCCACACACGACGGGTTTAGGAGATAAGTGCGGAGATATCAGACCGGAACTGAAACCACGCTTCAAAAAATTCGAGTTGCTTATTCAATGATAAGCATGTACGTAATCTGCTACTAAATGGAATTCTATTCAATCGGGTATACACGTTTGGAAATAGTACTGCCACGGGAAATGATGACGTAACTGATAGTGGGAATAATTATGATTATAATGTCTGATAGTATGGTGAGTCTGGGATGAGTAGATCGAGAAAGCTGCTTCAGATATTGGATCGCTGATTCAGCGTTAAGGCGGACTGATTAGTCTGATACTTGATCCGTGATGGGACTAGAGTACCGGACTTCTTCGAACCAAACATATTTAGTAAACCCGCCGGGTGTGGGACCCGAACAAAGGTCAGTCGACCCAATACACGCCATTAGGCCACCAGTTGAACAGGGATGGACTCGACGTGTCATTTGTAATCGTATATAAATGAGCGTCTCACTCATATATAGAATCTCACCATAATTCCCAGTTTCCCTCTCTAAAAACAGGACATTGATATCCCCTTTCGCCACTATGACCGACTCAAAGATTGTATTCATCACGGGTGCCAACACCGGCATCGGGTATGAAACTGTCAGGGCATTACTGCAATCTGATAGAAGATATCTGATCCTCCTTGGTTCTCGTTCTTTAGCTAAGGGCAAGGCTGCAATCGAGACCTTGAAGACGGAAGTTCCGGACAGCACCAGCACCGTTCACCCAATTGTGATTGACGTTGTGAGCGATAATTCAATCGAAGCAGCTTTTGCAGGAGTTGAAGCAAGGTGGGGACGGGTTGATACTCTCATCAACAATGCCGGTAGGTAGCCAGACACCTTCTCTCATCCGCTCAGTTCAGTCCATCATCGCCATTCTAGGAAGCTGAGAGACTTTCATCTACTAGGGGCAGAGTTCAGCTGGGAGTTCAAGGCCGGCAAACTCACTCGACGAGAACTCATGAACAAGACTTTCGACGTCAACGTCTCGGGCGCCTACATCGTGACTGAGACATTCATGCCGTTGCTGTTGAGGTCGAGTGATGCACGCATAATATTCATCTCTAGTGGACAAGCCAGTTTGACAGCATTCAGTAACGAGACGATGCGTCTTCCTCCACTGCCAGCCGCTGGTTGGCCCAAAGAGATGGCACATGATGCGACAGCATATCGCTCGGCCAAATCTGCACTTAACATGATGATGTTGAACATTTCTCGCATGCTGAGGAATGATAAGGTGAAAGTTTGGGGTGTATCCCCAGGGCTTCTGAAGACAGGGTTAGGAAACATGGACCGTGCAATGGTGGAGAAGATGGGAGCCAAAGATCCTAGTGTTGGTGGCATTTTCATTAAGGATGTAGTCGAAGGAGTGAAAGATGAAGATGTTGAGAAGGTTGTTCATGCGGAAGGACATGTTCAGGACTGGTAAATGGGGACAGCTTGTTGCATGTGTATTGTTCGAACAACATAATGGATTCCAGTGCCTCCTCAGTATACCCATACTCATAGCTACAGTCGAAAATTCTGAAAAGAAGGGCAGAAGGATTTCGATGATTATCACGACCGCTGGGTTCTGATTTACTGAGTTGAAAAATGGCCTTTGACAGTAACTATAAATGGAAATATAAGCGATATGGGGTAGTTTTACCATTCCGGTTTCAGGCAGTTGAGGGACTTTTAGTACACATGGGGCGAATCTGGATTTCTGTTCAGCCTGAGCTTTTCCGTACTCATTAACTGAACCTTTTTCTTCCGTCAACGATGCTACGCATAGTGGAAGTAGGCGTAACTGGCCTTGTAGTAAGATCTCCCAAAGAATACCCCTATCCGTACTGTGCACACTCAAACTGGATGACCAGGGATCTCACATCCTGACTACTCTCCTTGCACAACCCTCCATCTCAACAGTCCACGCCTACACCCGCAAAGACATACCAGCAGCAAACCCCAAACTCACAGCCATCCATAACAAGGATTCAACCACATGGTCTTCACTATTCCCCAACAACACACACATATTTTTCTCAGCGCTAGGGACAACGCTTGCCCAAGCCGGAAGCTTGGAAAACCAACGAAAAATCGACCTCAACCTTAACTTGGAACTAGCTCAAGCTGCAAAGAACGCAGGAGTGGAAACATATGTCCTCATCTCATCAGGCCAGCCTAATGTGAATAGCCGACTAGCATTTCTGCGTATGAAAGGCGAGCTAGTTGAAGCAGTCAAGAACTTGGGTTTCAAGCATACTATTATCTTACATCCTGGCCTCATTGTGGGCGACAGGCGGGATAGTCGACCAATGGAGGCTGTTGTCAGGGGGATTGCGAGTTACCTGGGGAAGTTCCAAAATGGAGCTCTCATGCACCCTTGGGCACAGCATGCTGAAATAATCGCGGGAGTGGCTGTGAGTGCAGGGTTGCAGGCTGCGGTTGGTAAGAGGGAACCAGGGGTGTGGGCTTTGCAGCAAGCGGACATTGTTCGGCTGGGATTTACGGAATGGAATGAACCAGTTGAGCGTGGAGAGGGGCAGATCAGTGCTTGAAATCTCGGTAGATTGAGGTGTAGCATGCAGATTTCATCCATCAACTTTGGTGCGTCTCTCTGTGGCATTGAGTGTGCGTAATTGAGCACTCGATGCGACTTTACTTCTTCGCCGACCTCCTCCATACGCCGAGACGTGGTTTCAGATTCCACAAAATGTCTTTGTATTACTACGGGCCTGTGAGTAAATGTGAAATCCTCACGAGCCTATGAGAAGCAAATTCAATACGCATTGACTGTCATCTACCGAGCCCACTAGTTGACACTCAATCACCGGCTATAAAGCAACTCCGTGATCCGAAGAAATACGTGTGGATCGCGGTGAAAGTTTGGTCGATCTTACTCGATCGTCGGTGTAGCGCTGATTCATTGGACCCACTTACTTGGTTCTTCCCACTAATTCGATTGGCCTGCAAACTTGTAGATCGAATACGCTGAATCATTACCCAGTCCACCCAACCTAGGACACAGGGGTAGCCCTCTATTTAGATCTAAAAGGTGTCTTAATAGTTTCGGAAGGGTCTGCCTTAAATCCGAACTCGATTCAACCCATTTGCCATCCGGTATCCCGACGTCCCGAGAAACCCGACCCGGGGTAACGGACTTTGTGTCCGTTACCTTCTCGTTACATATAAGTATTCCTCTAAATGAAAGCAAATGGTCATCTCTATCACCACGAATACTAGTACCAATTTATCAATATTATCAAGCAAATCCGCTTCTTTCGCATCATACCCCAGATTTCCTAACCTACCATGTCTAGCACAACCACCTCTTCCTCAAGAAGAATCATCCTAGGTCTCATGACCCTAGGCCCCGACGCCACCACTGCGCGCGCATCACCTCACTCGACGGATTGGTATCATGAACTCTACACTGCCCATCTCTACGACGTCGGCCGCCAGAAAGCATAAACACACGAAGCGCAATGGAAAGAACGCGGTCTCTCAATGGCTTCCCAATGGTACCCCGTCGGACATGGCATGCACCATCCTAATATCCTAGAGGCAGAATTGGATGAATCCCTAATTGGGCTAGGAACAGACTGTCTTGACATCTCAACCTTCACGGGCCGGATCACAGCAGAAACGCCCCAAGCTGCAGATAAGCTGTACCGCACGGGCAAGCTCAGCAACTCGGGCTTAGCAATTTTTAGTTTGTGCGGAACCGTCAATACAGTAAGTGAGATGGATCATTGAATAAGGACTATAGATGAATTCCAGACCCAGACAGTGTCCTCCCATATTCTAATTCCTCAAGGACAACTTGCACATCAGCGCAGGCTTCTCCCACAAAGTGAAAGTCTTCTGATTCGACCATTGGCGACTATCCTCGCAAAGCTCCAGATCAAAGTTCCACAACAGACGAGTAATAATGACTCGCATTTCCGCAAAAGCCAGATTCCTTCCGATGCAGTTCCTCGGCCCAGTAGAGAATGGTTGGAGCACTTCTCTGTTATCAGAGTAGAATGGTGAAGATGGGTCTGTTTTGGCTTCTGGTAGCCACCGCTCGGGAAGATAACATTCAGGTGCATGAAAGTTACTGGCTGACTTGTAAGCAGCGAGCGGATGCACGTAGACTCTGGTCTATATGCGAGAAGATATTAGTATTCCGTATTCATTGTGGATGTGTCCTTCCAAGGTTATCCTAGTTTACTCACGCCAGAAAGGATTTCATAGCCCGAGATGAGTGTCGGCTCGATAGTCATGCGGGTGAGCCCAGTCGGAACCGGAGGATACAAGCGAAACGCTTCATCGATGCAGGCTTGCAAATAAGGAAGCTTCGCAGCCACGAGGCTGGCGGTAATATCGGTCTCGGACTTCATGGTGGAACGAACTTCGGTGGTCACTTTTTCAAGCGCGTCGGGGGTCTTTAGCAGCCAGTATGTGATGCCGCAAAGCAGTGTGGCAGTTGTCTCACTGCCAGCAATGATAAGCACATTCGCATTGGCCACGATCTCTTCGTGAGTTAGGTCATCTTTTGTGTCGTGATTTCGCAACATCGAATCCATAAAGTCTCCGCGGTCATACTTCGATGCATTGTCGAGTCTCTTCTGGACAGTTATTCTAGTGTGTGCCTGTTGGCGCTTTCGTGCATTCAGGAGTGATTTTGGCATAACGAGAGCTAGCAACTTGAAGATTGTGGGGTATGCATCCCTTAACTTGATGAACGGTAAGAGCTTAATAAACTGGAAGACCGTTGCAACCCAATAGTGATACTGAGAGCTTTCAAGACCGCCAAAGGGTTCTCCGAAAGCCAGATCACCAATAATGTCGAAGGTGGTCAGATTGTACCACTTGACCATATCAGCTGGGAGCTGTGACTCTGCGATACCCCTTAACCTGGTAATTAATTTGTCGACGTAGCTATTTATGAGAGGCTCCTGGGCCTGTAAGCCCTTGGAGGAAAAGGCGTGTGATAGCGCTTTGCGGAAGCGACTGTGGTCTGCTGTGTTGGAGCTAATTATGTCCTTCGGGTTGGCCGCGGAGCTGGTTACTTTGGGTAGTTCACGGTGGCCATGTCCGTAGATCTTGTTCCACGCTTCTGTGGTGATGAAAGAGACTTCGTTGTGGGTGACGCGTACCACAGGGCCATACTCTTCATGAAAGCGATGTATGTCAGCATCTAATCGCCCTCGGACTGCTGAAACGTGTCGGAAGAGTGGTAGGATGATCCATGATTTAGGTCCAGGAATGTGTCGCAAGGGATGGAGATATAGAGTGTGTATTATGCTAAGTAGCGAGTAAAGGAGATATATGCAAGGGGCGATAGCTAGTGTAAGAGGGTCCAACATGATGCTGGTGGTGGTGTAGTCAACGATTGATGATCAGGTTCGATACTGAGGTGTAAGATAGGTTCCTACGATATTAATATAAGTCCCCCTTCCCCGCATCATGCCGGTGGACTCAGCCTCAAACCTAGCTACCGACTGCAGATAAGCAGTTGACCAGTTAACTTATGGAGAGGATAAGCGACGCTGAATCAGCACACCACATTTACCCGTCAACTGCGACCAACCGGAGATGGACACACGGCAGCCTCAGAAATTAGGTTGAAGGTGTCAGACAAGCTAGATAAACAACTCAGTCGGACAGCTCACAGAGGAGCTCATTCAGTACCAAGATTTCTCTAACCACAGGCACGAAATTCGAACTCGCCGAGTGGGATGACGAAGGAAGACATGCATCTTGGGAAAGATACCGACAGCGCTTACGCATCAGCCCGATGGACCAATTTATTTATCCGAGCAGACCTGTCATACAAGCTGCAGGAGATGGAGATCACAGACCACATCCCAATCAGGCGCGAACAACGATCCCGTTTCTCGTAAGCACTAGTGAGGCTTCTACGCATGAAGCACCGGGGAATATTCGGGCACCCCCCATTCAACCGCAAGACGCGGAATGCCTCGCAGTTGGTTGGTTAGCATATAACTACAGCAAATGGCGCGTGTTTCCGAGTCCCGCGACGTTTACGTGTCTCGCAAGCTTCCAGCACCCAACTATGGCTCAACTGCAGCATGGCCATCCCGTCGGTCTTGATTTTATTCCCTGGCCGCAGCTGCGTTCGCATCCAGGTCAGAGCTGGCACAAATATGATTATATGAAATTGACACGTTATTTGAGCTGCTGCATGAAAGTGCGGTAGCCTTTGGGGGGGGGGATCTTGCGCGTGATGAGCGCGATGACTTGCAAATCTGTCAGGGATTCCTTAGGTTTTCACCAAGGAAACTGGATGGGGTTTGACATCAGAGTTCATGGCAAAGTATCCGGAGCTACTGGAGGGCATGGATGTTGAAGCTGTGCGGTTCCAAATTGCGGTGGGACAGCCCTGCTGATCACCGCCCCTTGGGGTATAAGATGCAGAGACAACTCATAAGGACGCCTGTCAGGCCATAATAATACCCATTCATCGAGTCGCCAACATGATCTCTGGCATAATAGGAATGTGACCCTTTCAATATATAACATTCCCCGTAGCCCATACCACGGCATGTTTGATATACTTATTCGCCTCCAACATTTCTGCTATGACTGTGAACGAAAGGCTACTGGAACAGACTTGGCTCTCGAATAAGCCTAATACTACCTGAACTATCTGTGAAGGCTTAGGATATAGTACGACCGCTACCGGTTAGTAATCAACAATGGGGTTTGCCATACTGGAGTACGGGCGATGGTAGAATTCGGAAAACTTTTCCGTTCCGCCACATGGCTACGCGCGCAAAGAATGAGTATCATCCCGTCAATTTTTCAGGTTTATGATTTTCCTCTAAATTATCTCGTCTGCCTAATAGAATCATCCAGATTTAGAAGCATTCTAGAAAATTTCTCGATTTGTGAGTCATTACTGATGTCATTAGCGTCTGTCGGGCAAACATGATCATCGCCCTAACGATCTCAGCTACGCCCCGTGGCTGGGGATTTCTATATCTGAAACATCTTGCTTTATGCCACTTCCAGTGGTTTCCCGATGTATTTATTATCTCCTTCGGTGTTGAATCTGACTTCCATTGACCGCTCGGTTCTCATCTTTCTCCCTTCATTGGAATTTGTCTTTCAATGTTGACACATTACCGTCACGGATCCTCCGCTTGTCCTTAATCCTCATAAACTCCACCGCCAAGGCCAGCCAGATCAATACCCGCAGCTTCTCCACACACCGTAAATATCACCCAATACCCAGCGACAGCAAGTCAACGTTGTATGACCTACCCCCGAACCAGTAACAATGGGAGGCCTCCAGTTCCCACCCGGTATCGACGCAGACGATATGATCGGGCACGGAAAAAGCGGAATAGCAGCCCTAGACCCTATAACAAAGCACGTCATAAAATTCCCATACAACACAGACGAGGGAGGGGCTGAATGCGCTCACGAGAAGGAAATATATGAGCGCTTAGAGCGCTCACCACTCCCGAGACCATCATCCCTCCTAAAGTACTACGGCTCTACAGAGCACGGAATCCTCCTGGAACACGCAAAGCACGGTACGTTGCGGAAATACTCATACGGTTTCGATTACGGGATCCCACCCCCTATGATTCTCCGCTTTGCGAAGCAAGCAGCGGAGGCATTGCAGTTCATTCATGACAATGGGATAGTTCATGGTGATGTTGATTGTGTGAGCTTTTATGTGGACGAGTTACTGGATGTGAAGGTCGGTGATTTCACTCGATCAACCGACGCTACGCCACAGGCTGTGAAGCAGGATATTTCGGATTTCAGCACGGCGATTTATTATCTGGCAACCAGTCAGTATCCTTATCCAGGGATGACAGACAAGCAAATCGAGGAGCGATTTCAGAGGAAGGAGTTTCCGGATCTTACGGATGTGCAGTTGAAGGGAATTATTCATCCGTGCTGGGCGGGTCATTATGCGAGCTTTGAGGAGGTTTTGGTGGATGTGAAGGAGCATATTCGGCTTCTTTGAGGGTGTTAAATTTCTTTGCTGCTATTTTGGCGATAGCTTCATTTCGTTGTATGGGGTTTATAAATGCAGAATAGCGATCTTGCTGTTGTCAGGTACCCTAGAATATCTGTAAAAATACAAAGGTCTACATAAAATGCAGGTACAATCACGGGAGAGAACATAGAATAGACGTTGACATAGACGAGGTCACGAGGGGCCAATCTATGCATGACGTTTGGGCCTACTATCCCAGATATCAATCTGTGTCATGGAACAATGTCTCTGTTTGCTGCACAGTTCGAGGCCCTAGGATCTGGAAATATTGGCACCTATGATTCGTAAGAACGAACACATGCCACAGGCTCTGATAAAAATCTGCATGAGTCAGAATGTTGATGAAAATTCCTGATTATCGCTTTCTCCTGAGCATCTGAAACCCCATCAACGTAGTTCTGGGTATTCATTAAGTCACCAGCTAAACCGTTTTGTAGAAGACATATTTATGATGCTTAGGATAGTGCAGATCAAGGGGCTGGCCCGTGGACTAACGCGTGAAAGTGTCCAATATATAGTATTCTAGCCCTGCCGCATACTAATTTGTGAAGTCTCGCGTTATGCATATTTTACCTACGCGTAAATACATGGAAGACCAAACTTGGAGAGATGATTCAGTTTATTCTTGCGAGATTACCGCGTCGTAATAGCCTTTTGTGTTTGATTGGCATTAGTGCATGACTAGCATGTCCACTATCTCCGACGGCGCGTTCGGCAAGCAGCTGAACGGAGCGGAAGGCAGCCCTCGACATTAGTGCAGCATCGGGCGCAAAAATTGTTACCAACCAGGGATAAGATCCACAACCACTGAGTCGTATTAGCTCCATTATTGGTCACAATCAGAGGACAGAAAACGCATCACTTCGCGGCCCAAATATTTGTCGCTGTAGCTACCCCGCCTCGGAGCGTCTTCGTGAAAGCTCAAGGCTAAGAGATGAAGCCGGTCAAAATTAATGAAATCTGCACAATCAAACAACAGGCTGCTATAATATACTTATTTATTTCCTCGTGCGATAGAAGGGGCGACATGAAACAAAATCATGTAAGATTATTTTCCTCAATTCATTAAATATTCCTGATAACCCTCTGCGACATACTGATTACACAAAGGACGGTCTATACACCTGCCCAAAGAAGGGTGGCAACATCTGATGGATATTGAGCTCAAGATGAGTGCTTTTCTTGAGTGATGAGCTAGATGGCTAACAGCCATAATGTCTTGAGCAGTAGCATGCGATTGAGTGCTCTCTGGCTGGTTGGAACTAAGGTGTGGAAAGGGCATGATTGGCCATGTTGAATGCAAGTCAGCCGCACAGAAGACCACACTAAGGATCCACGAACAGGAACACGTCATAAATCGACAAGGGTATACGCGCTGAGATATCGTTCGTAGTGCTAGCTGAAAGAAGCAAAGGTGGCACCGCGTCTGTATTTAATTTCACCGCGATGGCTCTTTCCTCCCCAAACGTACCCTCATTCTTTCTCGCCTTTATCGTCTGCATTCCCGAAAAGTGCCTCAAATGGGTCAACCCAAGTGGCTCGTGTGTCTCAAATCACGATTCAGTGGGAAAGGCAAAAGCAAAAACAAAGGATCGCTGGGAAATGACACCTCTCAAGCATCAGCATCAACTCCCCTCGTGGAGTCTTATCAGTCCCTCGGCGAAGCCACAAAGGAAGTGAGGAGCTCACAGTCTAATCGCTATAGCTCCGAATATGGACCGAGTGAAATCAAGTCAAAGGAGCAGACGAATCCTATATCCCCCGTTGTTGATGGACAGGAGATACCAGATGTAGGAGACATTTGGGAAGAGGCATACGGTCGCATTCGCAATAACAAGGTCTTGGAGAAACTTGTGATTGAATATGAGAATATAGTCCGCTCAAAACTCCCGTCGGCCACAACGGACCCTGACTGCGGCGTTGTCGACAACAATCCGATGCCCCTTACGCGTCAACTAGCCGTTCTAGACGACAAGAGTCGCCAGAAATTGATGGATGAATTGGTCAAGGAAAGCAGCAATAATGCAGCAGATATCAAAGCATTCAATACCTTCTCGAAAGTATTCAACTCGACCAAGGATGGAATATCGAGCATGCTGGCTGTTTACCCACCTGCCTCTATTGCCTGGACAGGGGTCTGTTTAGTATTGACTCCGGTAGGTTAATCTGGATCATCGATATCGCTCCAAACATGAGGACTGAGAGAACAAAGCTTGTCAAATACAGTGATCAAGTTAATGCGAGCCATAATGGCCTCCTGTATATTATCGCGAAGCTTCCATGGTATGCGCACTTGGTCGAGCTTCTGAGATCTGAAATATGGCAGTCTCCCCAGCAGTTCCGGCAGTCCAAGGCCCCTCTCAAAGAGGCAATCATAGAGCTATACAGGCTCATCATTGAATTTCAGATCTTGACTCTGCAAGAATGCCATCACAAGTTCAGAACTCTTTCCAAGACCTTCGTGGGGCTGGGCTCATCCGCGGAGGATAGACTGACTCAGATCAAAGAAGCTGAGAGCGAGGTGCAGACGTATATGGAAATCGATTTCAGGACACAAGTGCTGGACACACTCAAAGGCATCAAATCAACTTCAGCCCAAATGAAGACCGGCTTGGCATCAGAACTCAACAGGCAGTTTGCGTTGAGGCAACAGTCAAAGCTAATCACAAAGTTTAGGCTAGACGAAGCCCATCTGGATATTGATCAGTATCAAGCCTACTATGAGGATATCAGCAATCCTTCAAGTGGAACAACCGAAGGCTTCCGTGAGCACAGAATATATCAAGAATGGGAATCCGGATCAACTCGTTCTCTGCTTGTGGTGGCCAACCCTGGTACTGGAAAGTCGGTGCTGACCAAATCTCTTCATGAGTCACTTTCAAGACCAGGTGGACCTGCGGTTTGTTCATTCTTCTTCAAGGACCGCGGTGGTCAGCAAAATAACATGAACGTCGCTCTCTGCCACATTATGTATCAATTGTTCCAGAATCGTCCGGACTGGATTGTCCACGTGGTGGATGATATTCAGAACAAGGACCCGGGTGACATACGATCAAACTTCCGTTTTCTATGGGAGCTTCTTCATAAGGTCCTCGTTAAAGTTGAACCGGATAGCATTGTTCTTCTGCTTGACGCCTTGGATGAAAGTGAGCCTGGCTCAAGGGAAAAGTTTATTCAGCACTTGCACGGTTTCGATAGCCCAGCTCTGAAGCTCTTCTGCACTGCCCGTCCACTGAGCGACATCATTGACGACTTTCACCCCGTGATGGATTTTATTTTGGACCTCGATCAAGATGCGCAATGTCGGGAGTTTCTTTCAAGGGATATTCAATGTGTTGCGAGTCAACGTCTGGAGAGGTTCATGCAGAAACGGAAGATCGAAAATGAGTCTGTTTGTTTACAGCTCCGAGAAATGCTCAGAAAGCGCGTTGAAGGAGATCGGACATATCTATTTGTCAAATTGCTTTTCGATGTTTTGGATAAGAAGAAGTTGAGTATGACAAGATCGCTGAGGGCATGGGTCAAAGAATTCGAGAATATTCCAGAGACAGTCTTTGACGCGTATACCGAGCTACTGGACGCAATAGATGAAGCAGATCGTGAAGCGGTGAAAGCTATGTTGAAGATTGTCTTGGCCGCACAGAGACCTTTGACCGTTCAGGAAATGGAAATTGCCTTGAAGGTTGGTATGGATGACGAGGCCTTTGAGCGTGGAGACGAGTTCAACCCACTTCTATTCAAAGCGACCATGTTGGAACGATGTCATTTCTTGCTGGTGACATACAATGACCGTATCTACTTTATTCACCAAACTGTTAAGGACTATCTTCTATCGGAACAAGAAAGCCAAGTGAAACCGAAGAAGGACACAAGACCCACCTGGCTACAATCGATCACCACCGTTTCCTGCCATGAAACCATACTCAACAGTTGCATGCGCTATATTTCCGCCCCATTCAATCAACGACCGGAGATAATCCCTGTTGAAGACTTCTTCTATCTTCCTCTATATGAGCAGCTTGAGCATCAACAATGGTATTGGGACACGTTTCCGTTTGGGGAATATGCGTTTTGCCAGTGGCTTGTTCATCTGCATGAAATAAGAACTAAAGAGGGGAAAGGTCCAGAAACTCTTATTGAAATGCTCCCAAGACTCCAGGAGAAATATTATAAATTATCCTTCGATGTCGTATTGCCAATGCTCTGTTGCTCTGGCTTTACGTCTGAAGCGGAGGCGAGGCTCTTCCAGAACGTGGTACAGCTAGGGAGTAGAAACATGACAGAGGCTCTCAACAACATGTCCCAAGGCCTAATCTTAAGGTCTACTAAATTCAACTCACATGCAGATCTTACTTGCGCGATAGAAATCACCGCCAGCGTTGTCGAGCAAACGCCAGAAGCAGATGCCAGGCTAGGTAGGATGCTTATTAACCTAAGCCGAGCACACATTCTCGAGCAAGACCATTATAATTACGAAAGCTCAGACTTGAACACTGGCTTAGAGGTCGCCGAGAGAGCGCTGCAAGTAACACCAATTGGCAGCATTGACCGAGCTAGAGCATTGCATGTGCACGCTAATTGGGCACACTGGAACGAGGACCTCGATCAGGCAATTGAAGATACTGAGAACGCCTTGACTCATACCCCTGACCTGAGTAAAGCAGATAAACAGCTATTTTATCACTCCTTGGCCATGTGGTTGGGATACCGATTTCAAAGGGCGGAGCAGCCCCAAGACGATGACTTACGCAGGGCTGTGGAATGTGCGCAGAGAGCTATACATGGCATGTCAAAGAAGAATCCAAGATACGCTAATGCGCTTCACACATTGACTTTTTGGTTGAAGGCGACTGCTTCAAAGTATCCTGACAAGCCAGAATATTTACGTCAGGCAATTGAGGTGGCTGAAGAGGCAAATGGACTTAGGCTACCCACTGAAGCCTCTAGTCATATGTATCTCCGTGAGC